CAGTCCAAATCGATCATTCTACCTGGAAACACCTCCTTCATGCCTTTGTACAACCCTCTTCCCTTCTCAGCAAGGACTATCCTGACTCATTTAATATGAAGCCTGTATCATTCTGCATCTCCCCAACTGTCTACATTTTATTCTCTCCACAGGGCCTGTTGCTTTTTAATGTGGCAACTGTATGTTTTATTTATTTATTGCCTGCCACTCACTGGAGGAATGCAAAGCTCTCTGGAAATCTCTGCAGTTTTGTTCACAGATGTATCCTAGAGCAATACTTGCCCATATTAGGTACTCAAGACTATTTTCTAAATAAATGAATTAATTTTAAGCTTTCTCCAATTAATTTACCTCATACTTTTGCATGTTGCTACAAACCCAGCAGCAACAACAAAACAAATAAATTTCAGAATATAAAAAGATAAACTCAAGAATGGTCAAACATGTAGAGTTTAATCTCTTTCATTTTCATTCTTCAAACAACAAAAGTGGGCATGATTTTCAAGTGTATCAAAATAAACTCCAAAAGTTCTGCCCTTAGCCAGTGGCTTATGCCTCTAACCCTAGCTATTCAGGAGACTGAGAGCTGAGGATCACAATTTAAAGCCAGCCTGGCAGAAAAGTCCCAGTGAGACCCTACTCTCCAATTACCACTCAAAAGCTGGAAAAGTAGAGCTATGGCTCAAAGCAGTAGAACACTAGCCTTGGACAAAACGAGCTCAGGAACAGCACCTAGACCCTGAGTTCAAGCCCCACAACCTACTAAATAAATAAACAAACAAATAAATACTGCCTTTCACCTTTAAGAATCTAGATTTTTTTCAATCAATTTGCACCAAGACAATGAATATAAACAGTGCAAAACCAACAATGCATATTTGTCTTTATTCTATATTACAGAAAACTCAGTAAATACACTGTTATCTTTTCCTAGCTAGGTGAAATGTTATTTGTACTAATCTTTTTGTATCTATTTGTATAATTTTTATTTCGGTACAAACCTACTTTGTTCTCCATATGGAGAATTATCTTATGATGTCCAAAAGGACTAAATTAGGTTATCTCTTTAAAATGATAAAGGTACTGACAAACTATTTAACCTCTGCATTCTGGTAAAGTGTGTTTTGGGAACAAAGATGGAAACAACTATTAAATACAAGATAGTAATTTAATAAATTTTGAATGATGACAACTTCAATACCTATAAAAATACCTATAATATCAAGAATAAAGAATTTCTATAACATTCTATGCTACGCATACAAAAACATCTAAACAGCCTGCATAAAACAATGTCTGGAATAAATATTTCTAGTATCTCAAAATTGTAATTACCACAAAAATTATCAGTACAAAGAAGATATTTTGTATTACAAAGGGAATGAAACAACTTCACAAATTTAAACCAATGTTCATTTTTTCATGTTATTAAAACTATTCAAATCCACATATAAAAGAAACAAGCCTATACAAGATTCACTCCAAATGATGAAGGGCGTAGAAATAAAGGATGATGGAGGAGGTTTGTAAGAGATAAGCGAGGCGTGGACGATTGGGAGATTTAATTCTCTTAAGCATATGAAAAGTTTGGTTTGGGAAAGAGCATTATACTCATTCAAATATTACCAAATAACTTAAAACTATCAAATATATCTATGAAGGTCATTAATTAGGTCCATAATGTCTGTTCAACAAACAGCTGTTTCAATAAAATATAAACTGGCTATTATTCTTATGCTCTCTCAAAACTTGTCCAATTGTTTTTTTAAAAAACAAGAATACCAAAATGAAATATGTTATTCTTCACAAAAAATTATTCTGACCATTATAATGAGTAAAAGATTGTCTAAACAGTGTCAAAACAGAAATTAAGCACCATCTTCATGAAAGCTACTTAAATTGATTCTCTAAAAATGTCTATCATTGCCTAAAATACTCTAAATATCAGAAATAAACTTTTATACCAAAATACATCAATGACTGTCTAAAATTCTGAAATAAAAAGCAGAGAAAAAAATCTTTAGTATCTAGAGTTTTTATTTTACACTCTTTCTTCTTACTAAATGTATGTTAACAAAAAAAACCTTCAACTGATCAAGACAAAAGCTTTTAGCTCAACGCATAATTGCAAGAAAATTGCAATAATTGTACCAATTAAAATAATCTTGAATGAACAGTATGTCATCTTAATGTTCCAATGGTTTATAGAGGGATCTACTTAATTAGCTAAAATTGCTTTCCAGTGTTAGTATCAAATGTCATTTGTTAAAAGTTGAACAATTTAGAAAATAATTTAACAAAGCAATTTTACTAAACACCAAGAACCAACATTTTCTTTTTCAGCTGAATAATGCCAGCAGATGTGTCATCAAATTGCTATAAAAATAAATGAGGCTTTTTATGGATTAAAAAAATAAATTTTACTACTAGTGTTAAAAATACTAAATACTATTTTCTGATTGTTTTTACCAAATCAGATTTCTTTAATGAAATAAATGAATATCAATTATATACTGCTGCTTTTTGTCGGCTGTAAATAAAACTTTTTATTATTCAAATGACAAGCATCAAAAAACTCAACTATGGCTAACTAGAAACAGTCATCTAAATTATTCTAACATCCTCCAATAAATGACTTTGCAATATGTTGATCAAATTGGCTTTGTATAGTTTTCCATTCCAAATCATCTTATTTAAGTCAATTCCTTATAAATTCTCAAAGACTGGAGTCTATCATGTCTTTATGTCTTTGTCGACCTAGCTACAAATATTATTTTAAGTACTGATAAGAATCTGAGACTTGCCAGGTGCTGGTGGTTCAGGCCTATAATCCTAGTTACTCAGTAGGCTGAGATCTGAGGATCACAGTACAAAGCCAGCCAGGGCAGAAAAACTGCTGTGAGACTCCAATCTCCAATTATACTTAAAAACTGGAAGTGGTGCTGTGGCTCAAAGTGTAGAGCTCTAGCCTTGTGCAAGAGCTCAGAGACAACTCAGGCCCAGAGTTCAAGCCCCATGACCAACAACAACAACAAAAAAAAATGTGAGACCTATTTATTTCTCCAAAAATGGAAAGTATCTCCAAGCCAGGTCTAATCCACTTTTAGATGGCAATTCTGCCAAGGGCCTAAGTCTAAAGTAGTAAACTGGTTTAATCAAAAAGCAATGCTGACATCACTTCCTATGTCTCCAATATATAGTACTTTATATTTACTTCAACAAAAATATTACCTTGCAAAAATTCAGTTACTTTGTTATATGATTAATAATACTATTTTTCATAAGCAAGATGTAGTAATTATTATTACCTTTAAATTATACACTTTCTTTTGTCTACATACATATTTCAATTAATTTAAAAACATAAATTTTTGATAGTTTCTTATGAGGTACAAAGTGATGGAAATTAAGATGGAGTTTTTAGAAATGGAGCAGAGCACATGCTGTGTCTATCTGCTTCCTAACCACTTCCTAACCAGCTTCTCCACTCTGCCACACCCTCCCGACACAACAGACTGGGACCTCTGTAACCTTGTGCCACAGAAATCTTTCCTCTTGTAAGTTGTTCTCTTAGGTATTTTGTCACAGTGACACAAGTCTCACTAACGAAGAAAACTGATACCAAAGAAGTATGTTTGTTTCTGTGACTATCCCTGGCAATCTGGTTCAGAAACTGTTCCAGCGGATTTACAGGAGAAAGCTAGAAACCTTAGGAGCTGCAAGCTACAAAAATTCTAGAATGCTGTAAGCAGAGCTTAATGGGTGATTCTGGTGGGAGCCCAGAATACCAGAATGCCACCAGAACCACAGATTTAGGTAAAGATGTGTCCTGAGGTTTCTATTGGGTCTCATAGTTGAGGTCACACATATTACATTTTGGCAAAGGACTGGTCTACATTCTGTGCATGTCCTAAGACTCTGTGTAAAGCTGGGTTTTCAAGTGATGGATTAATGAATATGATGAAGGAAATGTGAAGAGAGCCCAGCATCCAGGCTGTAATATAATTATTGCTGCTTTCAGTCAGTTTTACAGTGAGAAATAAAAGCAAAAAAAAACAAAGCAGAGGGGTCTGGGAAGGTGGCTCAGTGGTAGAGCACTTGCCTTGCAAACCTGAGGCCCTGGGTTCGATTCCTCAGCACCACATAAGCAAAAAGAAAAAAGCCGGAAGTGGAGCTGTGGCTCAAGTGGTAGAGCGCTAGCCTTGAGCTGAAGAGCTGAGGGACAACGCCCAGGCCCAGAGTTCAGGCCCCACGACCAGACCCCCCAAACAAAAAACAAAAACAAAGCAGAGAATTTGAAAACCTTTTCATTTTCTAGAAGTGCATGTAAAGGTGTCCCAAGGAAAGTGAGGCTGCTAAAAAAATTAGTGCTGTTAAAAGAAGCCAAGTCCTCTGCATTAGGACTAATTTCAACTCATTAGAAAGTCTATTTTAAAAAGAGTTCTCCAGAGTATCCCGCTCCCATAAACCCACCTAGAGAAATATTTTCCTGAGTTCAGCTGTCTGGGGAGTCCTGGAACTTGAACTCAGGGTCTGGGTGCTGTCCCTGAGTACTTTACCACTTGAACCACAGCTCCACATGCAGCTTTTTTTGGTGGTTAATTGGAGATGAAAGTCTCAAGAACTTTCTTGCCTGTGCTGGCTTCGAACTGTGATTCTCAGATCTCAGCTTCTTGAGTAGCTAGGAGTACAGGCTACCTGTGTTCATCTAGCAAGTGTTGATAATTACAGTGCCCAGGATATGACAGACCAGACATATTTATTCAAGAAATAATGCTTAGTATTTTACTATAAAATGAAGGGAAATCCCACTCTTCTATCTCATAAGATGATTTCTAAAAGATCAAAGACCAGAAGTATAAATTAGTGAGAATGCATTCAGAAGTATAAAAGCACACACTTTATACTTACTATTTTTCAGTTTGCTTTTCTATGTATTTTGTTTTGTTTTGAGACTCAACCCAAGATGAAGTTAAATACAAAGATGTCACACTAAGTACCTTTCATAGATGGTTTTTAATGTCAGTTGATCTGGGACACCTTCAGTTTCTTCCAAATATAATATTAGCCATGAAGTCCGATATGGCCACTGCTCAGTAAGGTTGATCCAGCTGGCAAGCCTGTCCCAGTTGAAAGTAATCTGATTGGCTCTCAGTAACCGCCCTGTAAGGAATACAAATACATGTTAAAATGAACAGTTGTATAATACTATGCTAAGTAAAACATTCAGCAAATTCACAAATAGTTTAACTTAATTTTTTTAATTTGGCATTTGATTACACTGCAAATTTAAATCTAGCGTTTTATAATTTCTAAAATCCTGGTTTTTGAAGATAATGACAGAGGCAGGTGTGGTGGTGCATGCTTGCAATTCTAGTACTCAGGAGGCTGAGGCAAGAGGATTGTGAATTCAACCTTGTCTCAAAAAGAATAACGTCAAATAAAGATTCTAAAGCATCAGAATGATTCTACTTAATTCTAAAGTTATTTTTTATTTGATTTGCTATTGTTGCTTCTTTTAAACCATATATCACAAGCTCAATGCTGCCCACCAACATATAGTAGAATATCACTTCACCCAGGGAAATACTACTGCTAAGCCTTAAAGAGATCTAAACACATTGGTCCATTCTTTTTTTTTTTTTTGTCGGTCGTGGGGCCTGAACTCTAGGTCTGGGTGCTGTCCCTCAGCTCTTCAGCTCAAGGCTAGCCCTCTACCACTGGTGCCACAGCACCACTTCCGGCTTTTTCTGTTTATGTGGTGCTGAGGAATCAAACCTAGCACTCTACCGCTGAGCCACCTTCCCAGCCCCCTGGTCCATTCTTTATTATGGATGCATGTACAATCCCAAAGACTTCCATTTTTTATGCACTAACAGCAATTTGTGTCAGTAACCTAGCAACTTAGTTACAATATTTTTTAAATGTATATGTGTATATTTAATCAAACCACCCTGTCTATTTGTAGGGTTTTCTGTAGATTCTAATTCAGTGTTCTACCACTGGGCATGCTTACATGTGGACAGTTGCTACTGTCACACTTTCAGCACCAACCTTCCTTTCACTCATAAGCATTACACTTCATTATAATCAGTTTCACCTTGATTTGGTAAAGATACAATTTGCTGATATTAGTTTTTAAAATTTTAAACATGGACTGTTTTATTTCATTGTTACCAGTTTATTATGTAACTGATATAAGGTAGCTACTTATTTTTGGTTCACATTTGAGTTATTTCTTTCCCTATTACTAACAACTATAGATGTGTTACTCCCGCATCTTCAGATTCCCTTTTGTCAGCAAATCTACTTATATATGCAAACTATGCTTTTATCTTTGAATGCTCTTTTTCCAGTAGATGGGATCTGGTCTGTTAGATCAGTGACAGGGTTTTGCCTTCCATCCAAGTTAGCTTTGATACTCATAGATGTATCATAAATAGTGATGTACAAATGTTGAGGATAAAGTGCTTTTAAAGAACATATGGCTTTCACAATGTCTACTCTCAGGAGAACACATAATAAGTTAAACAAAAGTCTATGAAATGAATTTATCATAAATCATAACAAGAGACAATCTCTCTATTAAGCAGAATAGGTCAATGTAGAAGTAAATAAATAAAAAACGGACAATGAAAAGCAAAGCATTAAAACATGCTTGCAACATGGATGACATACTTCTAGAACTTTTAAACTGAAAGCAAAAACTGGTAAAAACTTTGAGGACTGAATTGGAGGCCCAGGTTATGATGGTGAAGAAATAAGAAGAAAACTGTAAAACTATAAGGCAAGGGCTATGCTGGAGATACATATGGACTACTGCATGAAAAGAAAAAAGCGAGTACCGAATCTAAAAGCAGCAGCTAAATCTTCTAAATAATTTTTAGAACCAAGTCATGGAAGATGAGTTAGTTTGGTATCACTTGCCACTATTCTTCTTCCAAATTTCAACAACACTGCCTTCCAGTTGTTCATAGAATCCTACCTTGGGTCCTTTACATTTGCTGTTCTTTTTGCTTAGAATGTTTTTCTCCAGATATACATAAAACTTCCTATGTCATTCAATTTTTAGTAATCTACAAAGTGACACAGATATTGTTGTGGATACTGAGGAAATAGCAAAACAGACAAAAATCCTTGCCATGTGTGTTTTATGTTCTACTCATGGGAGAGACAGATAGTAAAACAAAGTGATCGTGAGTACATTAGTGAAACAAAGCAGGGTAGGAATAAAGCAAGGAATACCAGAGATAGGTAGTTTTGTTTGTGCAAAAAGATCTCATTGAAAGCAGAGACTTAAGAAGAAGTAAGAAAAACCACAGTGCATGTATCTAAAAACTAACCACAGCAAGCATGGCAAATGAAATTTGGTCGGTTAGCCAGGCCACACCAGTGGTTCACACCTGTAATCTCCACTACACAGAAGGCTGAGATCTAAAGATCATGGTTTGAAGCCAGCCAGAACAAGAAAGGCTATGAGACTCTTATCTCCAATTAGCCACCAGAAAACAAAAAGTAGTGCTGTAGCTCAAAGTGGTAGAGCACTAGGCTTCAGTGAAAAAACTCAAGGCCAGGCTTTGAGTTCAAGCCCCACAACTGACAAAAAAAAAAGAAAAAAGAAAAAAAAAGAATGAAAATTGGTCTAAATAGAAAAAAAGAGCTACAAGAACTGTGGCCAAGAGCATTCTAATACTAAATGGTAAGTGGGGATGAAGACTAACCACAGCATGCAGGAGGAAAGCACAGTATGTGCTGCACTTGGAAGGCAGAGGAAGAAAGCAAGTATGACAAGGAGAACTGATAAAAACATTGTTAAGGGGCTGGGAAGTTGGCTCAGTGGTAGAGTGCTTGCCTTGCATGCCTGAGGCCCTAGGTTCGATTCCTCAGCACCACATGCGCAAAAAGAAAAAAGCCGGAAGTGGTGCTGTGGCTCAAGTGGTAGAGCGCTAGCCTTGAGCTGAAGAGCTGAGGGGCAGCGCCCAGGCCCAGAGTTCAGTCCCCACAACTGGACCCCCCCAAAAAAAAAAACACTGCTAACTGCTGCTGATGGGGTCAGATACGAAGACTAAGGTTTGACTAATGGACTTCTAAAATATGGCAGCTAATTTTGCTGAGAGCAAGCGAATTTAGAGGGATTAGAGGAAAACAACAGGAAAAACAGGGCAGTAACTAGAGGTAGAGGCCAAGTCCAGAGAAGTTCTTGGGAGGAAAGGACTGCCTAAGTACTATCTCCATTTCACTATCCTACATGACATCCACCTTCAGGCTTCCCACTTGAGAAAGGGACTTGATCTTATTCACATCTTAATTTCTGAAAATGATACTAGGCACAGATACTTACCACACATTTTTTAATGACCATCTAAATGTTATCAATAATATAGTGAAAGAATTCCATGATCAAACAATTAAAGTGTGATGAGACCTTATTTAATTTTCAAAAATATATAATAAAATATAATAAAATTCAGAGCATGAACCCAACCTTAGTATGAAACACAATTCTGAGTAACACAATTCCTTACATTTAATACTGGGACATACTACAAAGTACCAATCAATAATGTACAGAGTAAGAAACCCATTTTATTATCTAAATTACAAGTTTTATGTGATTGCTGTAAGTCTCAATATGGCAGAGGACAGAATTCCATGCAAAGAATCCAGTCAGAAGGCAATAATCCTCCATTTTGTTGTAAATGTTTTTAATTCTAAATATCATAGTAGTATGTACAACATAGTAGTATGTACAATCTGAATGTTCATATTTTAGATTTTAAGTTAACTATATTCGGTTATATATATTAACATAAAATTATCTTTAAACACAGAAATAATATAAACATGAGATGAAGTGAAAGATTTTTAAAACCATCAAATTTTAAAACAATAGTGTACACTAATACTGATTTTTGCCATCAACTAACACTGACTTCATCATTTAACACAAATAAAACCGATATCCAACAATGTAAGCATAAAGACAGTATAACCCTTGTTTCTGCAATTAAATTGCTTTGTTAATTTTAAAGCTTATTTTCAGAGCTGGTGTGTTTCTCATGTTGCTCACCTAGCATCTGGAAAGCCCTGAGATCCTTCCCTAGCACCACAAAAATAACATCAAGCTTATTATCTACTACAGATAATAAAAACTAAAATCACCTGTGACAGAAACAATATTGAGTAATCTTCTCATGGTCTGAGGGCTAATGTCACTGAACCAGTCCTCAGTAACCAGCAGCTTTGTGAGATCAAAGGACATCTGCCGCGTGATTGTCCTCTGCATCTGCCTTCTGCGGTAAGTGTCCTGAAACAGAGCAAACCCACACAAGTCTGAGAATACAGGCTTTATAAGGTGTCTCAATCAGTGGCAGAAGAAGAGTACACGTTACCATTCTTGAGGCAGAAACTTGATAGAGCAGTTATAAAGTATTATGAGTGGCAACTGCATCAAATGCTTTGTTTTCAGTGCACTTTTAGAGTTTACATTTATTAGTGAAATTAATTTCACATTAAAAACAAACAACATTGTGCAAAGAAAACTATATTCACATCCTGGGGAGATTTAATACTTACAGAAACCTAGAATAATATGGCAACTAAACCCATCTCATTTTAAGGATTCAGTATTTGATTTTTAGGTTATTTTAAAGTGTGTGACAATTTTATCAAAAGCCTAGCCACTTTAATGATCCTTTTACCTCTGTAAGAATTAAAAAACACTCCACAGGGTGGAATGGAATGATAATTCCATCTCAGAAGAGGAGACCCCGTACAACAAAGGTGTATCCTTTTCTAAGGTCAAGGTGAAAGGGAAAGGTGAAGAGTCTAGGCTCCCAGGAAAGAAATTCAAAAGGGCAAATCACACATTCCTCTGAATTTAGTGCTATCAACTGTCATTCAGCATATTAACTTTACAACCATACCTGTAAAGGATAGAGGCATAAGACTGAAAGATCGACTGTCATCAAAAACACTTCGTTTTTAAAAAGTAAAATGTTCAAATTTAATGGCGGCAAGTCAAAAAGAAACAATAGCTGTTCCTAAACAGCAGTATCAAGCATGTTGGAGGAGAAACGTGCGGAGTCTAGGAAAGCTAGAATCACTAAGTAGAGGGAGAGTTTCCACCCTGCCAACATTAGGCAAGGAGGGAGGCCAGAACAAAGACAAATCCACAAATTTTTGCATACCATCTTCCCCATTTACAGCAATGAGGACAACAGGCATAATCTGGACATGTTCAGGAATGAATACATTCAATCTTTTGATTAAAAATCTCATTCAGGTTTTGATCCAACTGAGATCTGGGTTAGCACCTGGGCTGAGAACAGGCTGGGAGAGACAGGGACTCCTCCCTTGTTTCAAAGGTGGTTATGGCTCTAAGTGAAGACACTCCCTGAAACTCCCAAAGCTCAAGAAATCCAGTAATAATGTTTATCCGAAGAGTTTAATACAATATTCACAAAAGACTAGGTTGCATCAACTTAACTCTACTTGAATAACTGCAATACAAATATATAGCTAAAATGAATCAGGCCTAGAGGTATAGTCAGTGCTTTCAAAGGGAAAAATTTAAATTAATTAGCTAATTAAATTAATAAAGCAAATGGCATCTTACCCGTCTATTGAGGGCTGTCTTGCTACCAAGTTTTGTCATCTCCCCACCTAGGCTGTTCTGTGAAACTCTTCGGTCAGCATCTTCCTGTATCCCTGAAAAAACAGATCAAGAAAGCAGCTTGTGCAGAGTTCTGTCATGTATAATATTCAAGTGATGTGACATACCAATGATATTTTTTTAAGATAAAGAGAGATACCATAAAAAAAAAACTTCAAAATGACTTTGAACATAAGTCTTTAGGAGCTGGATCTTTACCTGTAGCATCTGAGCAAGAAATGTCCCCATTTGTTGCTGACGTTACCAGAAATTTCCTTGCATTGCTGAGTCCTCGACTATTGAGGAAAACAGGCAAATGAACTATATTGCGCATATAGTCATGCCCATTTATATTTGAATCACGAAGAACACTATTAAGGTTTTGGTTAATGGCCTTTATGATAATATGTGGATCACTCGCAAAAATGGCAATAAATGGACCTTTTGAAAACAGAACTCTGACCTGTGGGAGAGAAAGAAAAATGTATAGTTGTGAGACAAATTTTAAATTGTCCAAAATAATAAAATATCTTTTTGAAATCTATGCTATCCTTTAGTGACTATGCTAAAAGTAGACATTTTTCATCAAAATTTATTCTATTTGAACAGAAATTCCATTGATGGTTTAATCTGGGATCATCACCACCTGACAGTAACAAACCCTGCCAAGAAAACAATGATCAGATAGAGTTGAGAAAGATTTGGAAGGAAAGGTATGAAGTTACATAGTACTTACGAACTGATTTGCTGTTTGAAACCCCTTGGTACAACTACTTGAGATATTTGCTATCCATACAATAAAGATCAACACACAGCAAAATATATGTGAGCACATGTCCTAGTCACACTGGTCTTGGCCCACAGTTATGGCATAGTTACAAAGAGCTTCCAAGTTCTCTGGATTCCTTACCATATTGTGGAGTATAACCATAACTACCTGCAAAGTAGGTGCCACACCTGCCCTGAGAGATGCTCCATTTGACTTTCACCTCACACTGTCATTAACTCAAATCATTTAATTGTCTTCATGATGAAACATTTACTCTTGCTACTCTTTTTCTACACAAAGCATAGTTGCTTTTGTGAATGAAAATTGACTAGATAAACCAGGAGTACTCAAAAAGTACACTGTGTGGTCATGCATCCTTCCTCTGCCACAAAGTAACAAGGACAAGTTTGGAAATGCTTGAGACGTATGTACCGTGTCCAGCATCTGAAGGACTTTGTCCTGCTCACAGGCATCTAACCCATCAATGATAACCACCAGCCTGGTCTGATTCTGAGTGAAGCTATCAATGGTTTTTGCCATCCTGGCCATCAGCTCCACTTCACACTTGAGAACCTACACAAAGCACAGAAGACATGAGAACATTAAACATTAAAAGAAGGTAAAAAGTCACATTCAACAAGAAAAAAAGAAATTCAAAGTCCTTGTCCCAGCTGAGGTTCCACCTCAAGCTGAAGGGAATGTTTTACTGTTTGCAAGGTAACTACAGATAAATCAGACCACTTCATCTTCAGCATGTCAGGACAGAGTAGAAGCTGTTATGATTTACTTGCCAAAATCAGGGGCTCTGAATACCCAAAGACTTGGAATTGGATGCTGAATTTTACACTACTGTTAGTTCCCTAGTAGCCTCTGCCCTTGATGAAATGAGGAGCCTGTGGAACTCTTGAAACCTTTTAGGTGCAAGGTATGGTCTGGAGTGGGTCCCATCCCCATGTCCTCCCAGGTAGCTACCAAGGTTACAGGTATACACTATAAGGCCTTGTTCAATTTGGTAGTTTTAGACAAAACTAAACTAAAAATCATTTTCCTTGGTATTTACCAAAAGGAGCTGAAGACATGTCTACAGAAAAACCTTCACACAGGTTATTTACAGTAGCTTTATTCATAACTGCTAAAACGATGCAATAAAGATATCTTCAATGGATGAACACTCAGGCACTAGAATATTAGTCAGTGTTAAAAAGATATGAGGTCTGAAATTGTGAAAAGACTGGAGGGAATGTGAATGTGGATTACCAAGTAAAAGCAGCCAATCTGAAAGCGCTGCAGAGTATATGCTTCCAACTACATGATATTCTGGAATAGGCACAAGTGTGGAGAGAGTAAAGAGATCACTGAAGCTCAGGGTTGGAGGAGCTAAAGAAATGATGGGTGAAGCAGAGGCTTTCATGACAATGATACTATTTCATGACATGATACTATTCTGATGGAAATATCTTATCACACATGTCCAAACACACAGAATGTATAACCAACAATAAACCCTAGTAAATTATATCACAGGGAATCGTAATGAGGCACTGTAGGTTCATCAACTGTAATGAATGCACCATTCTGGTTAAGGATGCTGATAATAGTCATCTCTGTACATGTGGGAGGGCAGGTCATACAGGATATCTCTGTATGTTCTCTGAATTTTCGTACAGTCTAAAAACAGCTTTTAAAACATGGTCTTGAAGCCAGGTGCCAGTGGCTCACACTTGTAATCCAGCCACTCAGGAGGCTGAGCTCTGAGGATTACAGTTCAAAGAAAAGTCCATGACATTCTTACCTCTAATTAGTCACACAAAAAGCCAGAAGTAGAGCTAAAGTGGTGGAGTGCCTTGAACAAAAGAAACTCAAGGAAACCTCAAGCCCTAAGTTCAAGCTCCAGGACAGGCACAAAATAAAAAGCAAAACAAAATATAGTCTTGAATAACAGCTAATTAAACTCAACAAAATCCAACAGGTCTAGGGATGTAGCTCAGTGGTAGAATATAAAAAGCCCTGGATTCAATCTCTATTACTGAAACACACACATATACTCTCTCTTTCTCTCTTTCTCTTCATCCATCACCTTAACATTCACAGAACACATTCCCTAAAGCCCAAGTGAGCATGGTTGTGGTAGTAGATACACATTAAAATTCAATTCTTTGTAATAGCTAAAGAGCACTTACTTTCATGAATCCTTCACTTTTCAATTTGTGCAGTTTGGAGGCGGCACTGTGGAGGCGTTTTCTTTGAGAATTCAGGAGCGAGTCCAACACTTGCCACCATGTACGACAGTTCAGCACAAAAGCCAACCCCACTATAGATGCAATTGCTATGAGGACAGCATTGACGGTCAGATGTTTTGGGTCAACTCTGAATATAGCCAGGAGAGTAATTCCAGCAATAATGCAACCCAAGATAAAAAGGAAGATGATAAAAGATGGGAGACAACATGTTTTTTTCCACTTCTTTTTACCTGCAATACAACAAATGGGTTTTTTTTTAAACAATAGTGCATCAAGTATGCAGAAAATTTAATTGTTACAATCATAGCATCTGGTGACTATAATGTTTATTTACTGCATCCTCACCCCCTGGACACACACAACAAAAGAAGAAAGGAAATCCTACCCTGAGAATCTTCAGTCTTGAATACTCGAAAAAGCCTGGTTGCTAAAAAGCCAAACTCTCTCTCACAAGCATCTGAGAGGGTTGCAATCATTTCAGCCAAGGAAGTTTCTCCACCTACACTGGACAGCCTATTGTAGTCTGTAAATAAAAACCTTGGGAAAAAAACAATCAAAACATTACTCAACTACCTAAAGCAACAAATAACCTGAACATATGTCATTTCCATTTGCTCTATTACTTTCTTGATGTTGCTTTCAAAGTTTTGAGCACAGAAAGACCTTGGACTTAGACACCCTCTACTTTCAACATCTTACACTATTCTCTTAGGAAAAAACATTAACAAAAGTTAAATGTATACAAAGTAACTCTAAAGGCAGAAGGAAGAAAGCTATGGCAGAACTTTGATAAGGATTATCAGATACCTCAGCAGGCCTCATTGTACAGTGATTAAAAGGCAGTGCTCCATGACAAGATGACCCCCAAATGTTGCACAAAGAAAGTTTTCTAAAACCAACTGAAGGCTTTAGAACGTGGGAAAATATTATAATCATAAAGAATTTTACTCCTAGTAATGTTAGTTATGAACTAATTTTTCTAATATCTCATTTTATTTATAGCTTCAGTACCTATGGATTTAGACACAGTTGTAAAATAGTCTTTTAACAATTCTTCTTAAAAATAACAGAATTATTTACACCTTGGATCTCAGAATCAATGCTGATTATTTGCTGGGGCTTGAATTCAGGGCCTGGGTGCTGTTCCTGAGAGGTTTTTTTTTTGGCTCAAGGGTAGCGCTCTACCACTTGAGCCACCACTCCACTTCTGGCTTTGTTGTTGTTGTTGTTGTTAACTGGAGATAGAGTCTCAATTATTTTATTCTATTCTGTACGTTTTCCTTTAAACTTCTCATCTTTAAATCCTTTTCCTAATAATTAATTCCCACCTGTTAATTATACTATTCCCTCAGAATTCATGGCTTTGTTGTTGTTGTTAATTGGAGATAGAGTCTCAATTATTTTATTCTATTCTGTATGTTTCCCTTTAAACTTCTCATCTTTAAATCCTTTTCCTAATAATTAATTCCCATCTGTTAATTATACTATTCCCTCAGAATTCATGGGAGACTGATTTTTAGCACCAGTTCAAGTCCGTCATATGAAAGAGCACAAGCTGGGTGCCAGTGGCTCACAGCTATAATCCTAGCTACTCAGGAGGCTGAGATATGAGGATTGTGGCTCAAAGAAAACTGAAAGTGACATGGCTCAGAGTGGTGGAGTACTATCCTTGAGTGAAAAGCTCAGGGACAGTGCCCAGGCCTGAGTTCAAGCTCTACAACTGAAAATAAAAAAGCCCAGTATTTGCATTCTTTGTTACCACTAGATTATTTATAAAACCTACTACAACATAATGCTTTTTCAGTAGCTCTTATACTGTATTGTTTAAGGGAAAAGTCTGTGTATTTTCAGTACAGGTGAAATTCCTTTTTAAAACATGTTTTCTTTCGTGGTTGGTAGAATCTCAAGGTAGAAAATCCAGAGATATGAAGGCTGACTTTTCTTTCTTATACAGTTTTGAAGGTTTGACCTATTTTTTTCATTTTATCTTACTAGAATTTGAAAGTTTTTCAGCATTAGTGTCCTATTTTTTTTTTTTTTTGCTAATTCTTAATGAAGTTCTTTTGCTTTTAATTTCCTAACTGGTTTTTTTTTTCATTTAACTTTTTATTTGAAGCCATAAGCAATTTTCTTTATTCCTTGGCCTAAGTGTTTTTCATCTTTGACATTTTCTCATAAATTTCCTAATGGATCTGAATCATTTTACACAGACATGGAAATCCTTCAGCAATGAGTAAAGAGCAGTACAGACAAGGAAGCTGAGTGCTCACAGGTTGCATGCTCATTTAAGGAGATGCCAGATCACTAGCCTGGAGCTCCAGATAGTAGGATCCCATTTTAATCCAATGTTCTTTTCAAATCGTGTCTCAAAGATGTCTGCAGTACTAGGATGTTGCTCAATGGAAGAGCACTTTTCTAGCTTGTATGAAGACCTTGGTTTGAGCACCAACTCTGCTCTTTGTGCTGCTCAAAAACAAACTTCAAAGGATGGTGACAGGTAACCAAAAGAGTGTGTGTATGTGTGTGTATATATAGTAAGCTCAACAAATGAAATGTAGCAAATCAGAGTTAAACACAAAGTGATGATGTACAAGACAGATACACATTATGAAATGCATGAGCATATGTGTAAGCATGTTTAAATTTTATTTTATTTTTCATATAAAAGGTTCCTTTTACCATTGTTTTTTGAAACACAGTGCAATGTAAACTTTATTAAGTAAAAATAATTTTTTCTTTATATTATTAGAAGTTATTTCCAGGGCTGGGAAGGTGGCTCAGTGGTAGAGTGCTTGCCTTGCATGCATGAGGCCCTGGGTTCAATTCCTCAGCACCACATAAGCAAAAAGAAAAAAGCCGGAAGTGGCACTGTGGCTCAAGTGGTAGAGCACTAGCCTTGAGCTAAAGAGCTGAGGGACAGCGCTCAGCCCCAGAGTTCAGGCCCCACGACGGGACCCAAAAAAAAAAAAAAAAGTTATTTCCAACAAAGGGAACAACTCACCTCACAGGTAAAGCTTTTGTCGTTTGCTCTGGCAATTCCGGTGGGTTCACGAACATCAACTTGAAGAGGAGCTCCAAATATCCAATATGTCTGGCCAATCTGGTACTGAGGACCCAGGCCCAGTTCCAACTCTCTCCTTCCCTTCGTCCACCAAAGTAAATGACAACTGAAATGCAGTTTTAAAAAAGTTATTGAAAACAATCATTAATCAGGCAGGTTCTTTTCTCCAAATAGTCAACTATTGAGTAATGACATCCAAGTAGTATGATCTTTAATGGTTCACATTCATTCCAATCTACTCCTCAAAGAATTCCTTAACATGGGCTGGGAAGGTGGCTCAGTGGTACAGCACTTGCCTTGCACGCATGAGGCCCTGGGTTCAATTCCTCAGCACCACATAAGCAAAAAGGAAAAAGCCGGAAGTGGTGCTCAAGTGGTAGAGCACTAGCCTTGAGCTGAAGAGATGAAGGACAGCACCCAGGCCCAGAGTTCAGGCCCCACGACTGGATCCCCCCCCCAAAAAAAAGAATTCTTTAACTTCTGAATCACAGAAAAGGTAAGTGAAAAAAATGCAAGCTGACTAAAGTATGACCTAAGAATTACAGAAAGATAATGACTTAAATACAGTCCCATGGCTCAGATTCAAATGCTAAGCACTTGAAGGTTATCGATCAGTTTTGCAACTCGGCACTTGTAACTGAGGATACTCCCAATGGCAGGGATTATATTGTATTTTCTTCTTTGCATTTAGATAAATTACCTTTTCAGTTATGGTCAAATTCTCTAGAACCAGACAGGGAAGGCTATAGCTTTCTCTTCAAAGAAAGATTTACTGCTAGTGGTTCATGCCTATAATCCCATATCAAGATAATGGTCCAAAGCCAGCCTGGGCAGGAAAGTCTATGACACTCTTATCTCCAATTAACCACCAAAAAGCCAGAAGTAGAGCTCTGGCTCAAGTGGTAGAACATAAGCCTTGAGTGAAAAAGCTAAAGGACAGTACCCAGACCCTGAGTTCAGGCTCTAGTACTTGCCAACATAAAAAAAAAAAGATGTACATTTAAAGTAATTAATAGCCATACAGTAAATATAATAAATTAAAAGGAGTCCTGCTAAAATACTAACAAGTAATTTATTAGGTTCTAAAACTATTGCAGCCAGCTTATGGACCATGTTCCTGTAAACCAGTTTCTAAAATAGCAAAGATCAATTTTCTTAGCCAAATTAGAAAAATTACATATAAGTTGTAAAAGGCAAACATGTTTTAAGTAAAACAATTAGTCTTGATATTTTTTCTTCATTTTCAAAGAAGATAAAAGGAAAGACTTACCAAAGAATATATATAAGAGAGCCAGGAAGCTCAATGACACAGCTATGCCAAGATTCAGGTCAACCGTAAAAGCAAACAGTAAGCCAAGCCCTCCACAAAGTAACAGGGTGAGAAATACAATAAGCCAAGAAAACTGAAAAAGAGGTTCAATTTGTTGTCCTGCAAATGTCTTCATTTCATCTGAAAGAGAAAGGAATATGAAGCCTTAATTCTGTGGTTTCAACTTGTTTCCCGTGGACACACCTACGTGCCTACCCACTGCCCCGCTTCATTCTAAGGAAGGATGCCCCAAACTCTTTTGCATATACTCTCATCTGTCAAGATTTTGTTGGTGTTTTGTCATTTGCATTACACAAATGATGTTTTGTTTCTGTGCGCAGAAAACAAAAGTACACCATTTTGTTTCTGTGATCTCATCTTCTTCCTCCAATGAGATTTAAGAACCATAGCTCTCAAAGGTGTGCTGATCCCAAATGAGCCCTCACTCACACTTTCTACAAAATGTGAGGCAATACTGAAACTTGTTCTGAGAATAAGCACAATTTTGCCAGGCAAAAGGGATGGGAGGCAGCTGTGTAGAAAGCAAGGCCTGGAAAATGTCTGGTTGGCTGTAGCCAGAGCACATGTCCTCCTGACTGTGAACCCAGCTAAGGTTTTTGCCTGATGTTAGAAATAAATTCAAATGACCATGAGGAAAACCGAGAACCACAAAACCCCAACCAATTTATTTCAGCAAACTGTGTCACACAAATACCTATACAGAGCTGTATTTTTTATTTACTTCAGAGAAAACATTGTTATGTATACACAGACTTTGTACAAACATCTTTACCTTCCAGTTTCTTGAGTAAAAAGGATTTCCCACTTCCCCACTGTGCATATAAGCCCACACAAATGGGTGGCTGCATGGTAGGTTCACTGAGAATGTCTGCCAGGGCACTGCTATATAAATCATAACCAAGCATGTCACCGTCTGTTTCAGTAGGAGACAAGTGTCCTGTAATTAAAAACATACCATATCTATATGTTACATAGTGGCATTATTAGTAGAAAAGAATAACAATTTTCAATTCTTAATTATTAGGGGGAAAAACTTACTGTATACATTTAGATCTGTGTGAAAATAGGTTAAGAGTCTTTAAAAAATACCATATTTCATGGAACTTACGATAGCTATTAGTTTTAAGATGTATGCTGGCAAATTGTGAAGGAGAAAAAGGAAAGTGAGGAAAATGAGGACAAGATAATACATTTAGTATATATAACAAACACTTAAATAGAAAAAATTGTATGCTGATGGCTCATGCCAGTAATCCCAGCTACTCAGGAGTCTGAGATCTGAAAATTACAGCTTGAAGCTAGCCCAGGCAGAAAAGTCCGAGAGACTTTTCTCCAATCAACCATCAAAAAGCCAGAAGTAGAGGTGTGGCTCTAGTGGTAGAGTAACAGGCATGAATGGAAAAATCAAATGAGAGCATGAGGCCCTGAGTTCAAGCCCTGGTATTAGCACACTGTTCACTGAAGCCCTAGTTGTTACCACAAAACAAGTTAGATTTTCATCAAAAGAGAATTGAAAGTATTATTAGCATCTATAATGAAAGATCATGGAATAATTAAGATTATGATACTAAATTATTAAAACTTTTTATAATATGGTATGATTTCATTTTTAATTTTAAAGCTATACATAAAGTAAAAAAATTGTAAAATTTTACATAAAATCTGGAAGTCATTGAAATAATTTTAAGTTGGTGACAATAGGGAATGTGCATTTTCTACTAAATTCATGTCTTTTATTTTTTTCTTTCTTCTTTTGTGCTGGTACTAGGTCTTAAACTTGTATTATTACTCAGCACTGTACTACTTGAGCCACACCTCCACTTCCAACTTTTTGGTGGCTAATTGGAGGTAAGAGTTGCACAGACTTTCCTGCTCAGGCTGGCTTTGAACCATGATCCTCAAATCTTAGACTCCTGAGTAGCTAGGATTACAGACATTATGAGCCACTAGCAACCAGCTCTTCACTCATGAAATTTAATGTGTATGTATTACTATTATAATTAGAAAAATGTTTTAAAATACAAAACTACCACTGGATGTAGTGCCTATACAAGGGGATTGCAAGGGAAGCTAGCCTATGCTACATAGCAAGACTCTATAAAATTAAATTAAAATATAAAATCAAATACAAAAACTCACACACATGTCAAAAGAAGATATGACTGAGAAGCCCAATAGTAAGGCGATGAGTCTACAATACCCTGCTGCTTTCCGAAACTAGTTTTTTTTTTTTTGTTCTCATAGAAAAGAATCTGTGTTTCAAAATACCATATGTGAACGTCTATTCTCATGTGCATCCTTTTCAAGTAACAAGTCTTTTACTACAATATTCAATATCCTAAATGTTACAGAGAACTCAAGAGACAAGAGAAGTCATTCCTGACCTAAAGAATGTGGCAAAATCTAGAGGGGACAAAATTTCAAAGAAATAGAATAACAGTCACATATAATAAGTATAAGAAAGGAAAAATAGAGATCTGAGAATTGTGGTTTGAAGCCAGCCTGGGCAGAAAAGTCCCTGTAAGACTTGTATCTCCAGTTAACCACTCAAAAACCAGAAGTGGTGCTGTGACTCAAGTGGTAGAGTGCTAGCCTTGAGCATAAAGAGGCTCAGGGACAGCCCCCAGACCCTGAGTTCAAGCCCCAAAGCCGACAAAAAAAAAAAAGGAAAAATAAACACAAGTATTTAAATGAGACAAACATATTATCTAGTTAAATAGATTAAAAAGTCACAGAGGGCTGGGAATGTGGCTTAGTAGAAGAGTGCTTGCTTAGCATGCATCAAGGTCTGAGTTTGATTCCTCAGTACCACATAACAAAAAAAGCCAGAAGTGGTGCTGTAGCTCAAGTGGTAGAGTGCTAGCCTTGAGCAAAAGAAGCTCAGGGTCAGTGCCCAGGCCTTGAAGTCAAGCCTCAGTACTAGCAAAAAATAAAATAAATAATATAAAAAGTAACAGAAAAGGGAGGAGCTGACTAAGAATAAACTTTGAAGAGGTGATTTTAGTAAGTACAGAATATGCCTAGGATGAAGAGAGAACACAGCCAGTGATGGATAAAACAAAAAGGTTGAGAACTACAAATGCTCAGAAAACAAAGCATGTTTGATAAAAGCACAAAGTAAACCTGATGGAAGAACTTAGAAAAAACAGGATGGATTTTTTAGGAGCATTAAAAGGTGGTTACTTAATGTGCTTAATTCAGAATACTATACTGCACTGCAAAAGACTCTTAGGCAGTGGGACTATTTTTTCACAAGAAAATAATAACTTGTTTAACTTTTATATTCTCCAGTTAAATGACAACTGAAGAAGTTGGCTTTTTGTTTTTCAACTTTTTAATTTGACACTCATTATTTCAAAGCTTAATTCAGAGATAAAACCTGATACTTACTGGCTCCAAATATCTGTGTTAAAATGCTTTTCTGATGGCTACAGTCAATGTTGTAAGGAGTCTCTCCTGCTTTGTTGGGCCTATAAAGTAAACGCCCATCTTTTGGATTTCTTAAAAGGAGCTCTGCCAGTTTCCGACTTCTTCCTCGGATAGCAATGTGCAAGGGAGTGTCCCCCTTCTGTAAAACAATGGCAAGTTACTCAAACTTCACATAGTCATATACAGTATAGACAGAGTGGTGTTTTCTGTAAAACTTTCACACTGTCATATAGGTAACTCAAACGTCACACAGTCATATACAGTATAGGCAGAGTATTGTTTTTCATAATTCTATAGAACAGAAAATCTGAAACTTCCAAATTTTCACACAGAGTACATACACGATATAACTTTTGATCTCCCTCCTTTCCATAATCTTTCTCTAGTTCTTCACCAGCTTTTCTCAGAAACGATTTCTTCCCAGCCCTCTAGAATATCATCCTTCTCCTCGCTGAATTTACTGAAACAGGAAAGCTGTACTTCCTCAGTACCCATCTGTCATCCTAGCATTTACTGTCCAGGGACACCGACCACCCTCCTCCAACACTCCATCTGCTATCTCATAGCTACCTTCACCTCCTTCCCAGCACAGTAACCTTGTCAGCTCCCACAACTTGTCAGCCATATGCTAGTGTGGTGTACCCTTAAATTTGGAGTCCTTTGTGCTACATCTATCCTTTTCTCCACTACCATCTCTTCCACTATCCCTATCTTCTGGCTCCCCTAAAAGCAGCCTTCTTCCCTTATTAGTATCCATACCAAACACTAAGTAAAACTGTAAAGTAGAATAAAAAAACCTCTTTAGTCTATCAAGTATTCTGCCACATATTATACTTCACAAATATGTCTATTAACTTCAACCAATGACCCTAATCCCAACAAATAAATTCCCAGTTTTCAGCTACCCTGATTTCTCTGTGACACTAAATGAAAATGGCCTGCAGGGGTAGGGTATGGTGGCATACACCTACAATCCACCTACTAGGGGAGTGGAGACAAAATTGAGGTTTGAGGACGGCCCAAGCAAAAGCTTAAGACCTTATATTAAAAACAAACTAAATGCAAAAGGACTGGGGTTGAGTCCACTAGCTGTGGAGGTCAGTCCACCAACAGCTTGCCAAACAGTGTTTTCTCTGCAGGTTTTACCTTATCCGCTGCAGACACCTTAGCTCCTTTATCCAGCAGCAGCTCTACTACTTCAATATTTCTCATCTTGGTGGCCTTTATCAGTGGTGTTTCACCATCCTGCAGATACAGATATGGTTTAACATTATACAAATGCAGATGACTAAAAGTATCTGACTCTTCTGTAGTCTACATTTAAAATATTCTTTAATTTACATTTATTTTCAGAAACAAGTTTGCTGCACGTATGTTGATCTAGGAGACATACTGTAAAAGTGATGAACATGGGGGTCACAATTACTTAAGTAATGAGCACATTTTTCTTTGAACTCTGTTATCTTCTCCCTCATTTTCTCCAGATTTCCCCTTTCTTCTCCCCTCCCCACTCAAGTTGTAAAATTCATTTCTAACATAGTGTCCAGTGAGTATTACTGTTGCATTAGTTCAGTCTTTGTCCTGCTGTAAATGTAAATTCTGAAGGGAACTATAGGGATGGTAATGAATTTATTCCATCTCCTCCCATTTTTCATTATTGAAGGATATTTCAATTTCACACCATTTTATAATACTTTATGCACTGCCACAAAAAAAAAATCTTAATGAGTTTTTTAGTGCCATGGGGTCTTATTATCTCTATTTTTTTGTACACATAGCCAATGTAATTTTCAGCAGAAATGTAATTTTCAGTAGAAAAAAAAAAACCCTTCACATTGTAAAGAGGAAAACAGCTTGTTAGAATTGGATGGATGACTTTTACAAAAGGGAGTAGGTGCCTTGTTTAAATTATAATGCAATATAGTAATAGATTCATTAGTTCTGTATTTTGTAGTGAATAATTTCATAGTCACCATTCTTGTGCAGGTCCCATATAATGTAAACAGAAATAAAAACACAGTGGTAAAAAATATTCTTTAAAGTTTTAAATTAACATGGAAAGCACTTTAAATATTGTAGAAAGGAGTTTATGAATACAGTGTGTTGATCAGTACCCCTTCCAACATTCTCACCCCTCCCTGCCCACCCCTCACTCATTTTCCTTAATTTTATAGGATATACATTGAATTTTTGACTATATCCTCCCCCACTTCTTTTCTTCATTCATCTATCCTCTCCTTTACAAAGGGAAAGTAACATTCCTCCTCTTGGAGACATTACCTTTGTGCATATTTCAGTGTCAGGATTGCACTGCAGGATATCTCTCACCATCGTTGCATTCCCCTTCTCAACCGCCCAGTACAAAGCAGTTTTATTGTCCTGTGTAATTAAAACACACCAATAAATACTTCCTATAAGATACAGTCTGGACAAATGCTATTTGTAAATTACAGTTCTCTCAGAAGCCATTATAACAGGCAGCATGAAGGGAAGTACTGATCTGTATGTCATCTGGGATTTATTTTTGAGAAATTCTTTATGAAGAAGCCTAAGAAAACTTAATTATTACTTGACATTAAGAGTAACAATCCAATGTGATTAATAAGTTACACTTTTAGAACTCAATTGATTTCAGGACCATGCATTGGCTTAGAAGGCGTCACTGTCTGAACTTTGCAATCTTAGACCAGTCACATAAATATGCCAGCACACTCAGTCTTGGTTGGGAGTACAAAGATACCTATTATAAACTTTTACAGTTTTGTTTACTTCTATCCCTCTACTTAGATAAGTGAGGGTTTAGAGTGTAGAAAAAATTTAAATTTATTTTTATTCATTTATTTATTTGGTCAGTCGTGGGGCTTGGGAGCCCCACTCTGGGCTTGAAAGCTGTCCCTCAACTCTTCAGCTCAAGGCTATGCTCTACCACTTGAGCCACAGCACCACTTCCAGTTTTCTATTGGTTTATTGGAGATAAGTGTCTCATGGACTTTTTTGCCAGGGCTGGCTTTGAGCCACGATCCTCAGATCTCAGCCTCCTGAATTGCTAGGGTTACATGTGTGAACCACCGGCGCCTGGCTAAAATTTTAAATTTAAGCTGGGAAGTTGGCTCAGTGGTAGCGCACTTGCCTTGCATGCATGAGGCCCTGGGTTCAATTCCTCAGCACCACATAAGCAGAAAAAAAAAAAGCCGTAAGTGGCACTGTGGTAGAGCGCTAGCCTTGAGCTGAAGAGCTGAGGGACAGCGTCCAGGCCCAGAGTTCAGGCCCATAACTGGACCCCCCCCCAACAAATTTTAAATTTAAATAAGTATAAAAAATAAATAAAACTTGTAATTCATCATTTGAAAAACTTTTGGTGTATTTCTTTTCTAGGTGTATATATCACACAGTTAAGATGATATAGCTTTTTGTATCCATTTTTTTTATTTGCAGTTTTTTTTTATTGTGAAAATACTGTACAGAGGGGTTACAATTTCATGGGCAAGATAATGAGTACATTTCCTATCAAGCATTGTAGCCTCCTCCTTTGTTTACCCTTCCCATCCCCTCCCAGCCCCCCCCCCCCCGCTCCCCTACCCAAACCTCCCCCCACCACTGTATCCATTTTTTTAACCGAACTTTACATTGTAAACATTTTCTTATCACTGAAAAAAAAAACAACAAAAAAGAAAAAGAAAAAAACAAACTGACCTAAGGAGTTTCACCTATAATATATAATAAGTAATTTCGCCCAATTTTTCTAAAGGTAATGTAAAATAATATATTTGACATAAAGCATTATTACTGTTATCATTTTTGGCATTCCTTCTGCATCCTGTTCTGTCCTGATCAGATTCCTAAATGCAAAATCCAAAAAAGTTGTTCCACAACTGACCTGGCAAGGTGAGCTAGATAATCACAAAGCCAAACTGACACCAAAACAGGGAAGCAGGACTGACAGATCAGTGGTATACAAACCTCCACCAAATATGGGAAAATGTGGTGCTCTGGCATGATTGCTCTACTTCTCTATTTCCATCTTTGCCCAGTCCCAGTATCCCCACCACCTCCACAACAAACTACCTTTAGGACAGTCCTCACTTGCCCGTTTTCTTGAATGTTCTCATATTATTACCACAGTTGTAGTCAAAATACCCATTCTTGCTCACTCTTATAATGAAAATCCAACAATCTTTTAAAAGGCCTTTGAAAGCCTCTATTTTTGTGAATCCTCTTTCCCTACCTACGTGAAGACTCTCAGATTTGCTAGAGCATAAAACAAGAATCAATAAACTCTCCCAAATTGAAATACAGTTTTCAAAAGCATAGAATAGATACATTATTTATTAAATTAGTTCAAAAATAGCTTTAGCTATAATGGATTTTTAAAAACCAAATATTAGGAAAAAAAGCAGAAAAGTACTGTCATTTTAGGCTTTAAGAACTTTTTTTAGTGGGGGGAGGATGGGATAGGAAGGGGAAACAAAGGAGGAGGCTACAATGCTTGATAGGAAATGTACTCATTACCTAGTCCATGTAATTGTAACCCCTCTGTACAGTATTTTCACAATAAAAAAAAAATTTTTTAAAGAACTTTAAAAAAAAATCTTAAGCTTTCAGAGTATTAGATAAATTTCTACTATTTGATGTTATCTAGATCTTATTTTACTATTTGTTTTGCTTTTCCTGAGCAAAAACAAATACTTTTGTAGCTCTATGAGCTGTGACTGCCTGAAGCCAAATCCATAGACACTGCCAACTTGCCTAGGAAAGGCAGGCTACATGGATGGGAAAGAGAAGACAAAACCATATGCTAAAGAGAGAAACTGGGGGGGGGTGAGGGGAGACAGCAGCAGGGGGAGGGCAGGTGGAGGGGGGATGGTGTGGGGAAACAAAGGAGGAGGCAACAGTGCTTGATAAGAAATGTACTCATGGGGCTGGGAAGGTGGCTCAGTGGTAGAGCGCTTGCCTTGATGCCTGAGGCCCTGGGTTCGATTCCTCAGCACCACATAAACAAAAAGATTTAAAAAAAAAGCTGGAAGTGGCACTGTGGCTCAAGTGGTAGAGCGCTAGCCTTGAGCTGAAGGACAGCGCCCAAGCCCAGAGTTCAGGCCCCATGACCAGACCCAAAAACAAAAAACAACAAAAAAAAATGTTCTCATTACCTTGCTCATGTAATTGTAACCCCTCTGTACGGTGTTTTCACAATTTAAAAAAAGTTATTTTTTTTTAAAGGCAAAAAAAAAAAAAAAAAGAGAGAGCGTGAGAGAGAAACACCATCCACTGCTACCAAGGCCTCCCATCACAAACTGCCCCCATTTCAGGATGAATGGATCTGTATAAGTAAGGGACATTTGTGCTAAAAAGCTATCAATATTCAGGTTTACTTCTAGCTGAATTTAATTTGATGTGAATATTTATAAGATATAATACTAATCACAATAATAATATATACCCATTAAATGTATTAGGTAAGCCTATCACCATAGGAAAGCTGTGATCTGTTGACATACATCCAAGGTAACAACAGTAGCTGGATAATCACACGCACCTGTCCTCTAATGTCTATATCAGCATACTTCTGGAGGAGTGCACGAACAATTTCAACATGACCACCTCTGACAGCACCAATCAATACAGTGTCCCCACTCTGAAAAGACAAAAACAAGATCAAATGGTGATGAAATGAGGATAGTTTTGATATGTTAAAGTTTCTCACTATAGAGCTGCTCAAAATCTTTCTTAGGAAAAGTGTCACAAACAGAAATAATAATAATAATACCTAATATTAATAGTCTTCAGTGTAAGGAAAAGAGGACATTATTCCTCAAAATTAGAATCCATGAAATAAAAACTTAGCAAATCAAGTTGGAAAACCTAGTCTTTTGGAAGTTAATCTACCATTACAAATGTGAGTTAACTAAAATGACATTGGCTTCAGTAAAGAGAAAATACATTTGGACATGACAGAATAATTTTTAAAAACTTTGGGATAAAAGCCAAAGGGAGCCAGGTACTGGTAGCTCATCCCTGTAATCCTAGCAACTCAAGAGTCTAAGATCTGAGGACTACGGTTCAAAATCAACTTTGAGATTCTTATCTCCAATTAATTACCAAAAAAAGCCAGAAGTAGGGTAGAGTGCTAGTCTTAAGCAAAGAAACTGAGGGACCTTGCTGAGGCCCTGAGTTCAAGTCCTAGGACTAACACACACACACATATATGCATATGTGCATAAATGCAAAGATGCACATGTGTGCGCACATGTGTGTACACATGTGCACGCGCGCGCACACACACACACCAATGGGAACTGTAACACTAACTCACTCTATCACTGGTTCTAGAGCCACATTTAATTAAGGGTGAGTATAGGTTTTCAGACTAGTGTCCATGGATATCTGGCTATTGGGCAGGCTCAGGCCAGTGGCACACAAGACAGCTTCCTCCTCCAGTGCAAGATTCAAATGAAGTTCACTGTACCTCACCAATGTGCTAGAATCAACATACCCCACACTGAGAAGATTATACTGTACTTATCCCTTCTACATTAGAGACTATAAAAATGCACTACCACCTTTAGCTTATTGGTTGAGATATGGGTCTCATTAACTTCTTGTCCAGGCTGGCCTCAAACTGTAATCTCCCTGACCTCTGCCTCCAAGTAGCTGAATTATAGGCATGAATTACCATGTCCAGCAAATTATGAAACTTTTCAGTGTAAAGGAATTTAAGTCCCAATACAATGAATAGCACCAGCTATGACTAACAACAATATACAGGAAGGACAGTCACAAGCTAATTGTACATGTCACATTTTTTTTCTTTTTCTGGCAGTCCTAGGGTGTGAACACAGGGTTTCACGCTTGTTAGGTAGACATGCTACCATCTAAGCCACACCTCCAGTCTTTCGGCTTCAGTTATTTCTCAAACAGGGTCCTGCTTGTGGCCCAGGGCTAGTCCTGGATCATGACCCTGTCACCTATGCCTTCACTGTGGCATGGCTTACAGGTAAGGAACCCAAGTCCAGCCAAATGTGACATGTTTTCTTGCCTGCTTGCTTTTTCTTTTTCTTTTGTCAGTCCTGGGGCATAAACTCACGACCTGGGTATTGTCCTTAAGCTCTTTTGCTCAGGCAAGCACTCTACCACTTTGAGCCACAGCTACACTTCCATGTCTCTGGTAGTTAACTGAAGGTAAGAGTCTCAGGGACTTTGCCACCAAGGCTGGCTTTGAACCTCGACCTCAGATCTCAGCTTCCTGAGTAAATATGATTATAGGTGTGAGCCACCAGCACCTAGCTAAGTATGATGTTTTTCAATAACAAAATTATTTAGGAAAAGTAACCAAGGACATTCTTCAAAAGGATTGAATATTCTTAAACTTACGCATTTCAAGAGTAGAAACAACTTTTGTGTTAGACATGAAGAAACTTGTAAGGGATTAAGACGCAGCTAAGGTAATCTACCAGCCACTTTGCCACCAGAAGGGAATCTGAAACCCTAACTTACCCTATCAGGTATGTTCACGTAAGTCCCAGCGTCCAGCAGATCCTGTACAATCTCCGTGTGTCCTTCCTTGGATGCAATCATCAAGGCTGTATTTCCGTCCTTATCAGTTAAATTCACATTTGGATTTCTCTTCAAAATTTCTTTTACTGACTGTGTGTAACCGCCTTTTACTGCCACAATAAGTGCAGTCATTGAATTCTTAAAAAAAAAATCCAAGAAATTAGTAAATTCTAGAAAACATGATTTCCTACAAACTAAGTTCTTTATCTCTTCTTCTTTCTCCTCTTTCTCCTATCCTTCTCTCTCTCTCTCTTAGTACTGGAGAGCAACTGCAGAGTGCCTCAAGCATGCTAACAAGTACTATAAAACTGACTTACACCCTTTAGCCACTAAAAGTCTTTCCAATGGTAAGATTTCAAAATCAACAACTATATATCTACCAAAAATGGCTGGGAGGTGTACTTACGATTTTTAAAGAAATATGAATTCTCTAGTCATTAGGAAGAGTGGGAGGATTCAAGGCTTTAAATGAGACTTGAAACTGGACATATTTACAATGAACAGGCTCTCATGAGTGGAATGAAATAGAAACTAACTGACAGAATGACTAAAAATTAAACATGCTCTAAACTAAATAATACAAAGTAAGGTGATCAAGCATCAAACTAAGAATTCTTTTATTTTTCCCCTCAGTATTGGGGACGAAACTTGGGGCCTCACATCTGCTAGGTAAGCGCTACCTTGAGCCATGCCCTCAGTACCAAAGTAAAAATTCTTTATGATAAAATTTATAGGAAAAACAAGTAAAACAGTGAATAAATACTGTCTAGCAGTGACCTAAAAACCCACTTTCAAAGAGGTTCTTATTTTAAGTAGTTCTTTTAAAAACTGTACATTTAATTAACTATGATTATCTCATATTAAAATAACATAGCCACAAAGACAAGTCACCCATACTGACAAACTCTCCGAAAAGGAAGTAGTGAAGGCAGGGTATCTACATCTGCTAGGTTATACTACTATTTTAAATTTTTAAGGAAAAAGTATTTTAATAGAGCATAAAAGCTCTTTTGACAATATTTGAAGACTTTTTCAAGCAGCTTATAGGATACTGAAAAATTATTGTTAATAGATTTGATCTCCCAAAATTTATGTGCATTAGCATGTACTTATTAATATCATTAAACATATAAACATGTACTTATCATACCTTTCTTAACGTAGCATACTTAGAATAGAAAGAAAATACATGTTTTTCTAAATTAATACAATTTAAAAATTGGAAGTAAGTTTTTCTAGGCATATACCAAGTTAAAATGTTCTTTCTCCAAAACCAAAAACATCTCTCTACTACCAGGCTGAACACAAAAAAACTTACAGCTCCTTCTTGATCAACATCAGCTCCCATGGCCAATAAATGCTTTACACATTCCAAATGACCCTTTCGTGCAGCCCAAATCAAAGGAGTGGTTCCATACTGTTAAACAAGCATTTTAAACTATAATCAGATACATACTGAAGAAACTAGCTCAAACTATGAATTTTAACAAAACTAAATTTTCACTTAAGTACTTACATCAATATAATTTTAATCCTAGATAAATCCTATCTCTCTCATTTTCTTCCTCCTCCTGAATAAATGAATCACTGCACAAAATGCTTAGTCTTTAACCAACTCTATTTAACTTTTTTTTAATTGTTTTTTTGGGGGGTCCAGTCGTGGGGCCTGAACTCTGGGCCTGGGCGTTGTCCCTCAGCAATTCAGCTCAAGGCTAGCGCTCTACCAATTGAGCCACAGCGCCACTTCCAGCTTTTTGCTTATGTGGTGCTGAGGAATCAAACCCAGGGCCTCATGCATGCAAGGCAAACGCTCTACCACTGAGCCACCTTCCCAGCCCCTATTTAACTTTTACAATCAGAAACAATTTTTCCATCACACAGCTACACAGCTTCTAATTTTCAACAAGCTTTCACTGTTTCTCATATCTTAGGAAAGACAGATGCAGCCTTCAATTCTTCTGAAGTCGGACAGTCTGATTATAGACTGTCAGGCTTTATCCTGAAACAGTGAAAGCCACCAAAGTTTTCCAAAAGAAAGATCATTACATAAGTACTTACTCAATTTTTGAGGTAAGTGCTAAGGGTTTTTAAACAAACAATAAAAGAAATAGAACATTTAGCACATTTTGGAGAGCTTTCTGGAGGCAGCATCATATAAACTGGTCCTCCAGAATCAAGAGAAGCTGAGGAGGAAAGGGCATGACACCAGGCCAAGGGCAAGGGCTGCAGGAAACCACAAATCATTTGGCAGACTAGTATTCAAGTCTAGGGTGCAGGCAGCAGGAGAGGAGGCTTATCTCCATTCATTACACCAGGGGCAGAAGTTAGGATTTTAAAGATGAGAAAGATAAACAAATATGAATTTTAGAAAGCTTACTGTTGTAACAACTTAGAGAAAATACATAGGACTGAAGGTGGAAAGAAGTGAATTCATTATCACTGTTTATTGAGAATGATTAATAGGACACAATAAACATCAAAAAGATACCTGTAGTATGTAATACATATAAAGGTCCATCTATAAGCTATTTGTCCACATAAAATACAGTAATATACAAAATATAAAATACATTAGAGAAGATATATGAAAATTATAACTTAGACCTTTCATGCAGACTAACCCAAAGTGGAATACAGGTAGTTTCTGCCAACCTACCTTATCAGAGCAGTTGACTTTTGCCCCATTTTGCAGCAGAAGATGCACTATATCTGCATGGCCTCTTCCTGCTGCCCAAATGATTGGGTAAACACTGTACTGCTGGGATGGACAGGTAGGTAGGAAGGAAGAGAGGAAAGAAAGGGAAAACAGGGAGAAAACCAATCTTTTAGGTAGATATTTGTAACTACCGAGGTATTTTAAAGTAAAATTAAACAATTCTACTTAAAAATACAAATAATGCCGGGCGCTGGTGGCTCATGCCTGTAATCCTAGCTACTCAGGAGGCTGAGATCTGAGGATTGCAGGTGAAAGCCAGCCCCGGCAGGAAAGTCCATGAGACTCTTATCTCCAATAAACCACTAGAAAACCAGAAGTGGCGCTGTGGCTCAAGCAGTAGAGCGCTCGCCTTGAGCTGAAGAACTCAAAGACAGCGCCCAAGCCCAGAGTTCAAGCCCCATGACCGACAAAAAAATAAATAAATAAAAATAATGTTCCTAACACAAATTTTGCAACTAAGACACATTCAACCTTAACAAAGTATTATTATGAACACATTTACTCTTATAGTCAACACATTTAATGTAACTAGCCAACATGCAACTCAATAGGCATATAAACTAAAAAGAGTATAAATATATAGAACAGATATACAGAAAAATTATATGCAAAAATGCATACCCATAGGCAAGATACCTAAGGATTTCAAATTTTCCTTTTGAAATATATCCATAACTCTTAAAGCTAAATGCTTTTACCTAAATGTTTTTAGCTCTAAGACTTATTTGTTGACAAAAAAATAAAAAGTAAAGTTATCTTACAAAATTCTCAAGTGTTTTAAAATCACTGACATGATAAGTCAAGTGTAAGTAGCCTAAGCATTCCCTGAGGAAACTTACCGCTTACCTAACAAATTCATATTTTGATGAACACTTACCAGACCCGTGACACTTGGGTTGGCACCATGAGAAAGAAGCAACTCTACTACATCAGTGCGGCCTTTATAGCACGCCCACATGAGAGCTGTCCATCCACCCTTCAAAGAAAAAGAGAGAGGGTATAAAAACGAATCATACCCATACATAAAAATTCTACTGCTCAAGTTCCTGCTGGATATATCTTTGCAACACCATTGTTTTGTGAAGGAAGTTACTATGTAGTTTTAAATTCCCAAGATTCTCCAGCAAAGTGTAAGAATATATGGAATGAGCCAGGCGCCAGTGGCTCACACCATAATCTTAGCTACTCAGGAGGCTAAGATTCAAAGCCAGCATGGGCAGAAAAGTCCCATGAGACTCTGATCTCCAATAAGCTATTCAAAAAAGCAGAAAGTGGTACTGTAACTCAACTGGTAGAGTGCTAGCCTTTATACAAAGGGTCTTAGGGAAAGTACCAGGTCCTAAGTTCAAGCCCCAGGACCGGCCAAAAAAAAGGAAGAATACATGGAATGAGTCAAAATTCTTACAACCGTGACTGATTACTCTAAGGTTTACACTAGATCACAAAATCTGAAACAAGGACTGTGCAGCTTGGACTCCTCCAAAATTTTAAGATTGGTTTTGGCTGTTTAAAACTTTTTCTTCAGTAAACTTTCTATGTCCCTGTCCTCTTTGTATAAGTCTTTATCCAAGCAGAAATTCCAACAATCATATTCAATTATTTAAGTATTTCCCTGAAACCTCCAAATACTATAGGACCTCTGGACAAAAAAATAAAAACAGAATGATGATAAAGCACTGATCTGTAAAGCAAGATTTTAAACCTTGAAATAAACTGAAAATTAAGACAAAGAACATTCTAAAAGAGGGAGACCACCAGGGTTTAAAATATCCTTGAGCTGGGCACTGAGGGCTCACGTCTGTAATCCTAGCTACTCAGGAGGTGAGCTCTAAAGGATTGCAGTTCAAAGCCAGCACAAGAGGAAAGTCTGTGAGATTCTTATCTCTAATTAACCACCTGAAAACTGGTCATGGAGCTGTGGCTCAAAATGGTACAGTGCTAGCCTTGAGAAAAAGGAGCTCAAGGACAGTACCCAGGCTGTAAGTTCAAGCTCTATAATGAAGAAAAAATTCTTGAGAGCCATGTCCACCAAATCCTAAAATCATCACTTTACTATCACTTTATATACAAAAATACAAGATGGATCTATTATTGCTAATAAGATTTCAGTTAATTAATGCCATTCTATGGAAAATGGACATACCATATCACGGTGCTCCAAATTAACCCCACACTTAAGCAGCTCTTCCACCACATGTATGTGCCCTTCTTTTGATGCAGATATAAGTGCTGTCCAGTTATCCTTGAACACATATACAAAATTTCATGTTTGAAAGTAAAAAAAGACATTCCAAATAGGGGAAAAAGCTGAATTCTCATGCTAAACAATCATACCAAATTGATTTCTATAAAATACTACTGAAGCTCTCTTATGGATTTTTCTGTCTACTTATATCACTGACCACCAAAACTTCAAGTCCATAGTAACCATTACTATCAACTGACAGTAAAGAGCCTGTAATCTGATTTGAGAGCACATGCACAAGCTATTATAGCACAAAAGCTCCATGTTGAGAGTTCAGAAATTATATGATAATTATTCTCCTTTATTTTTTAAATAAAGGACTCAAGTATCCTATTTTATTTTTTTATTTTTTTTTGGGGGGGGGGTCCGGTCGTGGGGCCTGAACTCTGGGCCTGAACGCTGTCCTTCAGTTCTTCAGCTCAAGGCTAGCGCTCTACTACTTGAGCCACAGCGCCACTTACGGCTTTTTTCTTTTTGCTTATGTGGTGCTGAGGAATCGAACCCAGGGCCTCAGGCATGCAAGGCAAGTGCTCTACCACTGAGCCACCTTCCCAGCCCAATAATTTGATTTTTTAAATGTAGCTAAGTGACACTCAAAACCAATTCTAACAAAAAGGGAAATTCAAAGGAAATACAACCTCTTGGGATGGTGATTCCTTTCTGATATCCAGAAGCTGTATCAGTAGAGGATGTATCTTTCTATTTTCAAGTATAATGACTTCCACAGGAAGGAAGCAAACATGACTCATGCATGGAGATTTTCTAGGCAGGCATTCAATTATATATGCATGTGTGCTCTCTGTTCAGCCAGTTGTTCTATATAAAATCATAAAGACTCAAGATCTTTCAATACAAGCAAAAAATTTTCTCCTGAATTACTCTTTAACAAACATAGCACATTAGGTAAAGGTGAGATATGTCTGAAGGTACCATTTTTAATCAATTATTTTTGAATGACTTCTTAAAAAAAAGACAGTTAAGGAGAAAGAAAGAGACTAATGAGCAAATGATTTTTAACATGTACCAAGTCTTCCAAATTGCAGTTAGCTCCATTCTTAATCAATTCTTTCACTATTTCCAGATTGCCTTGTTCAGCAGCTATCATCAGTGGAGTCTGGCCACACTGGGGAATGGAAGAGACACAGGAGATTATCAAGACAACCTGTTTGCATTACAGCACTGCTGCTAGATATGTAGCATTTGCCTTTCCATGAAGGTGAGTTCAGCACAAGCAGTACTTATTGTCTTCCTTTCATTTACAAACAGCCTTAAACTTTTAGTTTTGTGTTATGAAGAATTTAAAAGAATATAATGTAATTTTCTTCCCATAGTATCAATAATCTGAGACACTGTAAATTTATTAAAAATCAGCAAACATGTACAGTATTATGATTTGGAAATTAATGAAATAGAAGTAAGATCTCAGGCTATCTATAGCAACCAAATTCTCTAACAATAATGAAAAAACAGGGTATAGAAGTTTTAATCATATTTATGCTTTATCTAGAGCAAGACAAGAGAAAGAGTAAACAAATAACATAGATGTTATATATATAATATACATGTGTAGTTTATGCCTTCTCTTATATCATTATTTAGACTGGCTAATCCAGTCAGTGTGTTCTGTGCTTCTAAAGTGAATATAGAGATAGCTCCCTTAGTCCTGAAAACAGGGCAGGGCGGGGCAGGTGGTTCTGGGGTAGAACAAACACCTCCAATAGAAGCCTCCTTTACTGCAAGCACAGCATAAACATCACTTTCTTAAAGTGCCAAGGTATACAACAGACCTGGAAACAGGGTAAACAAATCAGTTAAGCTTTGGGTACCAACAGTACTAAAACACAGGAGAAATACTAGTGTACCTACTTACTGTGTATTAGGGTAGGGGAAAGTATGGGTAATTTTCTTTAAATGGCAATGTGAAATATTCCTTGGCTTCATACCCTTCAGTATCCCACTGATCTTTGGGTAAGAATTCATATCCTTACCGTGGCTACAGATTTCTTGAATGACACAGACCAGGAAATGTCTGCCTCTCCACCTCTCCTGTGCCATTCCCACCTACTTTCTGGGCACCTTTAATTCCTCTGTACTCTATGAATTCTCAGTTGGACTTAATTTTTATTTACATGATTAATAACTGACTTTTATATCTTTCGCAAGGCCTGTGAACTGCATGAGGGTGGACACACCCTGCTCTGCTGCTGCATCAGTACTGTCTATGGACTGCCACATAGCACTCCTCAAGTATTTGTTTAGTAAATGAACTCTCAAAGAACTTAGAACTCTATGAGAATAACATACAAATAAGTAAATAATTCTAATACCTGGTAAAAATACAAATGTAATTATAAGGATAATGCAACTAAGGATTAAAACATAATATCAGTTTAAATAAAATACATAAGTAAATTACATTAAACAGATATTCTTATATATTGATTTGGATATGAAATTCTATGAAATAGGCACATCACTTATTAGGGAATGAGGTGTATTTCACATAGATTTTACAGGTGAAAAAGCTTCTATTTTAGACATTAAATTTGATGATCACCTTTCCAAAGAGCAATTTTTCTTGTTAAGCAGAGTATCTTAAATATTATGTTTATGATTCTGAGTCATAACTAGAGACATAATTACTACACCATGAATACCTCTGTCAGCTCTAAATTTCTTGGCATTCTTTCTATAGCATCCCTTTCAGGTAGAATCTACTAGATAAAAGGTGAGATATCAAAGTCACTGCTATTACTGATAAATTAAAGCCAGACCCAGACCCTGAATTTAAGTGCATGAAATTTACACAATAGTTTTTAAGGTAGTAGTTTCCAAGTCACAGAGGAGTTCTCTGTTTATTATCTGGGATTACAGTTATACTTCAGATAGTTCACAAAGATAAGTGATCCACAAAATGAAATAAAAATATAAATGGTGTGCTGGGCACCAGTGGCTCATGCCTGTAATCCTAGCCACTGAGAAGGGTGAGATCTGAGGATCACAGTTCAAAGCCAGCCCTGGCAGAAAAGTCTGTGAAAATCTTATCTCCAATTAACCAATAGAAAAACAGAAGTGGTGCTGTGTCTCAAGCTGTAGAGCTCTCGCCTTGAGCTGAAGAGTGCAGGGACAACGCCCAAGGCCAGAGTTCAGCCCCATGACTGACCAAAAAAAAAGTAAGTGTGCATAAATATCCGTAATACAAACAAGGAAGATGCCTTTAATTTGATTAACTAGAGCTAAAGGCGTCAGTAGTCTGACTAGTTGTAGGCCTACATTCTCAGAGAGGAGCAGGATTTTGTTGGGCAGTAGTGTGCCTGCACTACTCCTCCTTGCCTACAGCAACAAATGATCCCATTACATTTCTCCAGCAAGGTCTCCCGAGACTCTAAGGAGATCAGCTGGCCTGTGCCCTTTTCTCCCTTGATGCTCAATATACATAGAGTGTTGGAAAGTATCAATACAGCTGAGGCAAGTAACCGGCTCAGTGCTGAAAAGGAAATCAGAGGCTGGGTTCCTAGGGTGCCCAGAAGCTACCAACGTTAGGATGGATCCACTAGTTTGTCATATGAAAAAAACAAAACCTTCATTTGTCCAAAGCACTGTTTTGAAAGCTATCATATGCTGTGCAAAGTAAAGTTAACTGATATTCCTATTGTAGCTACATTATCAAGAATTTCACAAAAGAATTTCACAAAAGGTTGTGATGTGTAATGTTTTATTAGATTCTTAAAAGATGGGTGTGTTTGTGTGTGTGTGTGTGTGTGTGTGTGTGTGTGTGTACTTCCTTGCCTGAGCTGGCTTATCAGATCTCAGCCTCATGGGTAGCTAGGATTACACTTAGAGCCACCAGTGCCCAGCTGTAAATTGACTCTTGAACTCTATTTTTTAACTACTAGTTCTTGCTTAACCAATCCAATAACTATAGCTGCAGAGGAGGTAAAGAGTAACTTACCATGTCTTAACTTGCATTTGAAAATGACTTATTAAAGGTCCCATTCCCATCAAGATTTACATACCCTATCAAATCTCAAGACTACTATCCCTTTACAAAAATTTGGGATGTATAAGCTGTAGATCCCCTTGTTATGGTCTGTATCCCCCAAAGTTAAGTGTTGGAAACTTAATCCCTAATGCAACCGTGTAGAAAGGCAGATGTTGTAAGAGCTTAATTAGGTCATGAAAGCATAGCCCTCAGGGACAGATTAGTGTGTCACTGTGATGGCAGGTTAGTTATTGCAGGCATGGGATCCTAATAAGAGGTTAAGTTCAGCTCCCTTGCATCCTTTTCCATTCCCTTTCTCTTTCACCCATCCTTCAGCCCTCAGCCTCTACCATGCTGTGAAGCAGCAAGAAGGCTCTCACTGGATGCCAGCCCCTTGAACATGGACTCCTCTACCTTCCAAAATCATGAGAGAAAAAAAAAACCCCTGTTTTTTAGAAATTATCCAGTCTGGAATTTTGTTATCAAGGCAGCACAAATGAACTAAGGCATGCCTGCTCTACTGCCTAGAGTAATATCAAGAAAAAGAAACCACGTGAAACAGAAGAACTATGTATGACTGAACTTTGCACAGCAGGTAGATCCTTACCTCAGCTTCCCTCCAGGCCACAATGAAAAACATCTACTATTTCAACTTCTTTCTGTTCTTCCTAATTCCTACACTCCCCATTCTACTTATTTCTGTGATTCAGACCTAAATAACCATTGCCTTTTTAGGCAGTCATCTCCAAAGAGAATGCACGTACTTCTTCTAATAACTGCAGTGGAACTAAAATATGTTCAAATCTTCCTTTGAGATTCCCTTTAGTCTATAAACACACAACAAAATCTGTCTCTAAAATCTCATTTCATTTTCTTTCTTTTCCTTTCTATCAGTAGAGGGGCTTGAACTCAGGGGCCTGGGCACTGTTCCATAGCTTTTTCTCTCAAGGATGGCACTCTACCACTTGAGCCACAGTTTCACCTCCAGCCATTTAGAGGTTAATTGAAAATAAAAGTCTCAAGAAATTTCCTGCCTGTGCTGGCTTTGACATTTTTTTTTTCAGTCATGGGGCCTGAACTCTAGGCCTAGGCACTGTCCCTCAGCTCTTCAGCTCAAGGCTAGCGCTCTACCACTTGAGCCACAGCACCATTTTCGTTTTTTTTCTGCTTATGTGGTACTAAGGAATTGAACCCAGGGCCTCATGCATGCGAGGCAAGCACTCTACCACTGAACCACCTTCTCAGCCCCTGGCTTTGACTCATGATCCACAAATCTTACCCTCCTAAATAGCTAGATTATAGCCCACTTCATTTTCTTGTCCAGGAGAATACTGTCCTACCTCAATACTATCCCTGTACCAGGGAGAAGCTGACTTTGTTATTTTGCAACAATAAAAATAAATAATAAAAGTCTTAGCAGGTGCTAGTGTCCAAGTAATCCTAATTACTTGGGAGTCAGAGATCAGGGAAAGCTTATAGTTCAAGACCAGCCCAGGTATCAACACAAGACCCTATCTCAATCAAGAGCTGAATGCAGTAGTTCATGCCTGTCATTCTAGCTATGTGGGAAGTACAAATAGATTGTGGTCCAGGCCAGCCCAGCCATACATACAAGACCCTGAAAAAGTAACAAAGGCAAAAAGAATTGGGCATGGCTCAAGTGGTATAGAAAATGCCTCAAAAGCATGAAGCCATGAGTTCAACATCCAAGACCGCCAAAAAATAATGAAATGAGACAGGCACCAGTGGATCAAACCTGTAATTCTATCTATTCAGGATGCTGAGATCTGAGGATTGAGGTTTGAAACCAGCAGGGCAGGAAAACTCTAATTGAGACTCTTCAATTAAGCACTCAAAAAAGCCAGAAGTGGAGCTGTTGCTCTAGTAATAGAGTACTAGCTTTGAGCAAAAAGGCTCAGGGACAGTGCCCAGGCCCTGATTGAGTTTAAGACCCAGGACTCATACAGACATACAGACACACAGACACACACAGACACACACAGACACACACAGACGCACGCACGCACACGCGCGCACACACACACACACACACGCACGCGTACACACAAGAGAGAGAGAGAGAGAGAGAGAGAAAGAAACAAGTCTTTCACTGTCCAATAAGGAGCAAGGACTTGACATCACCAGCACTCTTTACATGCCAAGAGATTTACAGTTTATAAACAGAGTAGAAAGAAAAGAAGCAGGAATCTGATCATGTACTGTAAGTACAATGTCGGGCTACTCTTTCTTACATTCTTTTATTTAGTTGATCAAATGTTTAAGAATTGTTTTCAAGTGGGTAGAGGCAGGAGGAAAAAACAGAGAGAGCAAGGTAAGGGGTGACACTGTCTGAAAAGAAATGCACTTGCTGGGTGCCGGTGGTTCATGCATGTAATCCTAGCTACTCAGGAGGCTGAGATTTGAGGATCAAGTTCAAAGCCAGCCCAGTTCAGGAAAGACTCTTATCTTCAATAAACCACTCAGAAAACCGGAAGTGGCACAGTGGCTCAAGTAGTAAAGCACTAGCCTGAGCTGAAGAGCTGAGGGACAGCGTTCAGGCCCAGAGTTCAAGCTCCATGACTGACCAAAAAAAGAAATGCACTCATTACCTGACTTATGTAACTGTAATCCCTCTATATATCACCTTTATAATAACATTAAAAAATATAAAAACATAAAAAAATTTAAAAAAGTAGGCTGGGAATGTGGCTTAGTAGACTGCTTGCCTAGCATGCATGAAGCCCTGAGTTAAGATTCCTCAGTATCACATAAACAGAAAAGCCAGAGTAGTGCTGTGGCTCAAGTAGTAGAGTGCTAACCTTGAGCAAACCAAACTCGGAGACAGTCCCCAGGCCCTGAGTTTAAGCCCCAGGATGGCAAAAATTAAAAAAAAATTTGTTTAAGTGTTTCCAAGAGAGGTAACCAAAACTTCTTAATATGAACAAGAAAAAATGGGAGGGGCCGGGCACCGGTGGCTCACACATGTAATCCTAGCCACTCAGGAGGCTGAGATCTGAGAATCCCAGTTCAAAGCCAGCCCAGGGCAGGAAAGTCCAAGAGACACTTATCTCCAATAAACCACTAGAAAACTGGAAGTGGCGCTGTGGCGCAGCTCTTCAGATCAAGGCGAGCGCTCTACCACTTGAGCCACAGCGCCACTTTTTTTTAATTTTTGGGCTTGGGCACTATCCCTTGGCTCTTCAGCTACTCAGGAGGCTGAGATTTGAGGATCAAGTTCAAAGCCAGCCCAGTTCAGGAAAGACTCTTATCTTCAATAAACCACTCAGAAAACCGGAAGTGGCACAGTGGCTCAAGTAGTAAAGCACTAGCCTGAGCTGAAGAGCTGAGGGACAGCGTTCAGGCCCAGAGTTCAAGCCCCACGACCAACAAAAAAGATAAAAAATGGGAGGGGAGCCCAAGCAAATTTTTAAAATTCTACAAAGATTTTTTTTCAGAACTGAGTGACATTAGGTAATATTTTACTGTAATAACAAAAAAAATGTTTTGGAAACACTGAGGTTTGAACTTAAAGCTTTATATTTGCTAGACAGGCACTCTACCACTCAGTCAGACCTCCAGTCCTTCTCCGAACTGGTTAGCTTGAGGGTGTTGCATTTTGCTGGGCACATGTTGGATTGGGACCATCTATTATGATTCCCATTATAGCCAGGATGCCAGGCCTGCATCACCATGCCTAGTGACTCATTCAGATAAGAGTCTTGCAGACTTTTCTGCATAGGCTGGCCTGAAACCACAATCCTCCCAATCTCAGCCTCCCACATAGCTGGGATGATAGGCATATAGCTATACCCAGCTAGTAGTTGAAAAGGAAGTATCACATGTCTATTTAGGCTAGCCTTGAACCATGATCCTCTTAAGTAGCTAGGATTATTGGCATGTGCCACTGGTATCTGGTTGCAATAACAAGTTTTTATATCAAGCATTTCTTGGTAACAGAGTTAAACTAAAATTACCTACCAAAATAAAAAAAATATATATATATATATGTGTGTGTGTGGGTACATATGTATGTGTCTAAGTGTATATACATACACACATGTGCACATATATAAACATTTTTTCAAAAATAGTAAAGTACAACCATGCATGGCAGTGTTTGTCACCTGGGAGGCTGAGTCAGGAGGATATAGAGTTCAAGGCTATACTTGCTTAGTTAATAAGTTCAGCTCTGATCTGAGCTACAAAGCAAAACTCTGTCTAAAAAATAGGAAGTTACAATAATAACTATCAACTCAGCAGCATTAAAAACATACAGCTGGGAATGTGGCTTAGAGGTAAAGTGCTTGCCTAGCAAGCATGAAGCCCTCAGTTCGATTCATTAGTACCACATACACAGAAAAAGCCAGAAGTAGCATTGTGGCACAAGTGGTAAAGTGCTAACTTTGAGCAAAAAGAGCCCATGCCCTGAGATCAAGCCCCAGGATTGGCAAAAAACAAAACAACAACAACAAAAACATACCATGTTCATAGTAGTACTATCCACAACAGTCAAGAAATAAAAGCAGGACTGGGAATGTGGCTTAGTGGTGGGGTACTTGCCTAGCATGCATGAAGCCCTAGGTTTGATTCCTCGGTATCACATAACCAAAAATAAATAAATTAATTAATTAAAAGGTTCAAAGCCTGCCAAGGCAGACAAATTAGAGAATGTCCAGTTAACCAGAAAAAAGCCAGAAATGAAGGTTTGGCTTAAGTGACAGAGTACAAGCAGTGAGAGAACAAGTTGAGCAAGAGCACAAAGCTTGGAGTTCAAGCCCCAGTATCAGCTAACAGAGAGGATAGCATGGAAAGATAAGGCAGCAGAGAAAGGAACAGAGGAGGAGAAGACAGAGAGGAGGGAAGCAAACCAAATTTCCATCCTCAAAGGATGAGTGGATAAATAAAACATGGTCTTTCCATAAAATGGATTATTAGGCTTAAAAATGAAAGAATTCCTGTTATATGCCACTACATGAATAAAATATAAGGATATATTATGCTAGTCACAAGTTAGTCATAACAAGACAAATAAGGATTGGGAAATTAGCTAAATACCACATGCCTACCACATGCAATGTCCTAGGTTCAATGACCAGTGCCACAAAAATACAGAAATAAGTAGCATATAAATCTATTTGTATAAGATAACCAGAAGCATCAAATTAGGACAAATAAAGTGAAATGGCAGTTTCCAAAGGTAAGAAATGGAGAAAAGAGAGGGTTATTTATAGTTTTAATTTTGTAGATGAAAAAGATGTAGAAAAATGTTACACAATGTACAAATACAACTCAATTGTACTTTTTTAAATAGTTAAGATGGAAAATTTCATGTTATATATGTTTCACCATAATCAAAAATTTATAGGGGACTGAAGACCTGGCTCAAGTGGTACATTGCCTTCCCAGTTCTACCACTCAATGCAAGCCCAGAGTTCAAACTCAGAACTTTGAAAACTATTATAAACAATGTCTACATGTCTTTACATGTCTATACACAGATATCATATAAACATACACATATACACCTAGACCTGTATAAAGATCATATCATCTACAAAAAAATTACATTCCATTGAAAATATAGTTTTAAGAAACAGAATTATTTTCCTTAAGGTTTATAAGATAAATACATACTTTACTTTTTTAAAAATGTATCCAAAATGTTTATTAGTCATGCCAAATAACCTTCAGTTGTTCTCTGCATGATGAAGTATCAATATCACTTATCTTACTTAAATCAATGTTTATTAATAACATGTAACTTATTTAGCTCTCTCTTAAAGATGTAGCATCTAAAGTCCTAAGATGTGGGAATGTACAACCAATGAACAGAATTGAAACTACTGAAAAAAATGTTTTTAATTCTTAATCTTGTCTGGTGAGTTTGTTTGTAGGAAGGGAGTCTCAGATGCTCTCTAAAGCTTCCTAGAAGCTTTAATTTTCAGGAGTCAAGCTTCCTGAATATTAGGGGAAAAAGAAATTAAGGGAAAAATAGTGGCTCATGCTTGTACTCCCAGCTAATTAGGAGGCAGAGATCAGGAAAACTGCAGTTTGAGGTGAGCAGGCAAAAAGTTAGCGAGACCCCTTCTCAACCAAGCCAGACTTGGTGGAGTGTGCCAGTAATCTCTCTCCAAGAGATTTTAGATAGAAGGATCACAATCTGAGGCTGGGGCTGAAATGGTAAGAACACCTGCTTAGCAATAAGAGACCCTGAATTCAAGTCTTGAATTCAAATCCTAAATTCAACCTTTTTTCAATCATTTATATGTTAGAATGAAGCACTTTAATGAAGCACTTAATGGACAACAGTCCATTAAGCCTGAGTGAGAGTCCCAGAATCACCTATTTCTTCTTTTTAGTGCTTTGAACTCAGGGCTATGTACTATCTAGGCAGGCATTCTACTACATGAGAAAGGACGCTAAGCATTTTTCCTTTAATTGACTCTCCAGGTAAAGTCTCACTTTTTTGCCTGAGACTGGCCCCAGACTACAATCCTATCTTTGCTTCACCATAGCTGGGATTACAGACACATGCCATTATTTCTGGCTTACCTGGTAAGATGATGGACTGGCGGGGGGAAGGGAAGGGGGAGATACCCCACTAACTTTTTGCTGGGGCTGGCCTTTCAAGGCCATGATCCTCCTAATCACCATCTCCTGAATAACAAAGGTGAGAGGCATGTGCCAGAATCACCTTTATCTTACTCAGTGCCTGTTACAGAGCAGGCAGTAAAAAAATACCTGTAAAAGAACTTCATTTTAGACATGTGACTTTACCTCATTTCTCTCGTCTACATCTTTGCATTTTTCAAGAAGAGCTTTCAGAGCAGGAATGTTTCCCTCTTCCACATAATTTATTACACTCTGTGAAATCAGAACTGACATTTTTGCAGAAAGCTGTCGCTACCTTTATTTTACCTGTTAAAAACAAACAAAATACATGATTTATAGTTAGAAATAAACTAACCAAAATCCTCAAACAAAGCTTATGCTATCTGATCCAGTAATTTCTAGGAATTGGCTCTAAAACCAAGAGAAAAATAAAGATTTTTAGTGCCACATAATTTTAATCATAAGAGCAAAGACATGTATATAACACCTTGACTTTCTAAAATATGTCATATCTCTGGAAACCAGTAAGAGATTTTGTAAACACCACCACCAATACCCAGCATGCTCTTTGTTCTCGCACTTACAGTATCAATCGTAATACTTGAGACTGGCATCAGAGATTGGCTCTTTTGCTTTATGCAGCCTTACCACACCACCATTCAGACCAACTGAAGCACTACTGCCCACACCTGTCATGCTGCTGCATGCACCTGCCTTTGCTCAACTTGCTCCTTTCACTTAGATGTACACCTTCTGATCCACTCTGTCAAAGCAGCCCAGGTAGGCAGAGGTGATTGGCTGTTGTGTTATTTTGTTTTGCTTGATATATCCATATTTATTTTCACTTAAAAAAACTATTGTAGGGCAGTCATAACGGTTCATGCCTATAATCCCAGCTACTCCAGAGGCAAACAGTAAAAGAATCACAGTTCAAGCCAGCACCAGTGACTCAAGCCTGTAATCCTAACTACTCAGGATGGCGGTTCAAAGCCAGCCCAGGCAGGAAAGACAGTGAGACTCTTATCTCCAATAAACCACTCAGAAAACCGGAAGTGGTGCTGTGGCTCAAGTGGTAGAGTGATAGCCTTGAGCTGAAGAGCTGAGGGACAGCGCCCAGGCCCAGAGTTCAAGCACCACGAACAACAACAACAAAAAAAAGTCACAGTTCAAGGTAATCCCAGAAAAAACTAGAGACACCCCACCAAATTTCAATATACAGCATGGTGGTATGCCCTGTATTCTAGCTACACAGAAAGTAATGACCAGGAAGACTGATACCCAGGGCAGCCCAGACATAAACTAGACCCTATCTCAAAAATAACTTTAACAAAAAACAAAAAGGGCTGAGGGATTAACGCCCTCAGACCACCACCAAAAAAAAAAAAAACCATCACAAGGAAAAAACAATGCAGCTTTTCATCTTGCATATGAATCTCAATGCTGACTCTTCAAGAAAAACTTGTTAAGGGCAGTCTTAGCAGGGATTAAAAGTAGGCACCCCAGAGCCAGGCTGCTGGTTTTGACTCCTGACTGTGCTATCCTCTTTGGTGATTCTCTTGGACTGCGTGTCTAAGTTTCTCATCTTTAAATAACTGTATGTAAAATATGTAAAAGGATTAAAATGGTGCCCAATACATAGGAGCACAATAAATATCAGCTATTTTATATAACAGAAAAGTATCATCTCTTAACCACCCTTTCTTAGTCTCTCCCACTAGGATATAAAAGGAAGGACGATTTGTTGTTCTATACTAAGTCCTCATTACCTAACCCAGTTCTTGGCCCATAGAAGACACTGCATTCTTTAAATAAATAAGCATTTTTTTTTGTCAAATGGGGCTATAAGATTATATGTATTCTTTTGAACAATCAGCAAAACAATTGATATATTCTGCCATATTTTTCAGTAGTAGATATAGCCATACTAATGCTATGAAAATATTTTTGTGGGCTGGGAAGGTGGCTCAATGGTAGAGCACGTGCCTTGCATGCCTGAGGCCCTGGGTTCGATTCCTCAGCACCACATAAGCAAAAAGAAAAAAACCGGAAGTGCTGCTGTGGCTCAAGTGGTAGAGCGCTAGCCTTGAGCTGAGCTGAGGGAAAGCATCCAGGCCCAGAGTTCAGGCCCCACGACCGGACCCCCCCCCAAAATATATATATATATATATATATTGTGTGTGTGATTTTTAAAAAGTGCTTATTTTTAGAATCTGTAAACAAATTTAACATATCAACAACATTTTGGTATATTCAGAATACTTTCCTGAAAGGACCAGTGGCTTAATAGGTGCCCTCTACTTTTGTCCCATTACAAACAAAGGACACCAAAGCAAAAATAGTGATCAGGTTGTCAAATCTTACTAATTCGGTATACTCCAGATATGACACAATACATTCCTGTGGCCTCTTCTATCCCAAGTCTCTCATAAGTTTCCAACCACAAGGACCCAAATGCAGTGACTGTGTCCTGGTGCCAGTATTTCCAGTACTCACCACCTCCATATAGAAGCCAGAGTGACCACCTTGTAAGTATTCTGAGCTCAGCCCTCCCCCACCCTAACAACTATCCTCTCACTCAAAATAAAATCCCAAATACCTGCCATGGCCTACAAGGCTCTATCTGATCTGCTTTACCCCTTGCCAGTCTCCCTGAGCTCATCTCCCACAATTCAGTACTTCATTCTGCTAGGCCACACAGTTTTCGTACATATGTCAACCTGATCTGAGCTTCCCTAAATCTTCTATAAATCAGCCATCACCTCTGCATCTATCAGTCCCCATTCCATAACCTTGCCTCATTCTTCTAGAAAGCACTCAGCTACTTTAACACACCATTTATTTTTAATGTCCCGTCCCTCCTGCTCCCAATAAACATGCTCAATGAGAATGGGAACTATCTCTGTCCCAGTACTCAACCTCCAGTGCTCAAAGAAGTGCCTGGCAGTCAGCACAACCCTGAATCTGCACAACCATGAGTGTGCCATGCTCCCGGGGCTGATCTACCTGCCTGAATGCCTGACCCAGCACTGGCATGCCTACTGAACTGGAACATGTAACTCAGCTCTGCGTCACCTCTCCTGGATCTCCTCCTCCCTTTCTCCCCTCAACCCTCTACTGCCCTTCCCTGCCTGCTAATATCATCTATACATCACATTTCACATGTGCTTTTAGACTTTCACATATGCTTTTACATCTTCGAATACAACAATGTATCACAATCACCCATTTCTATGAAACCCTTGCGAACAGGATCACATTTATTTTACAGTTGGTATATATGAATGAAGACAAGTATTCTTTGTACTATTCTGACTGTTCTGTAGAAGTTACTTTAACATAAAAATGTGAAACACTCACATAAACATCTAGCAGCCCTAATATGGACCAAATATTTTTAATGCCACAGTATTACATAAAACTGGGAAGAATGCAATTAAGAAAAGCAGCTATAGACATCAAGTTCAACCATTAAAGAAAACAAAGATTTAAAGTCATAGATTTTTCAATCTTGTTACCTCTCCCATAATCTGTCATGAAGATTGTATGTGTGTCATCTTTGGATACTTTTGTTTTGTTTTTGCCAATCCTGGACTTGAACTCGGGGTCTGGGTGCTGTCCCTAAGCCTCTTTGTTCTCAAGGCTAGTGCTCTCCCACTTGAGCCACAGTGACACTTCCAGCTTTTGGAGGGTAGTTTTTTTAGAGATAAGAGTCTCACAAACTTTTCTGCCTGGTCTGGCTTCAAACCACAAACCTCAAATCTCAACCTCCTGAGTAGCTAGCTAGGATTACAGGCATGAGCCACCAGCACCTGGTTATCTTTGGATACTTAAAACATAAAAAGGTTTAATACTCTTAGTCTTTAGACTAGTATTAAGCAGAATTTTTTTTAAGTTTTTTAAAGTTTTTAAAACCATAAATCAAAACTGTTTTTGCCTTAACTACCCAAAAGATGTCCTTTGAACTAGTTATTTAAGGGAAGGTGATCTATTTTTGTCACATAATCACATGAAAATACATTCTACACAGCTACACATCAGTAACAGTTCAATCTAATAGTTCACTGGGAACCTGTAATTTGCAAGTACTCTGCTATGGGTGGAATAAGATGCCATTCTTGCCTATGAAGACTCAGTTCTTCAGCAGAAGGGAAGTAACAGGAAAAAAGGAAAATGCCTGAAATAGAATTGGCAACATACTGGATAGGGATCAAAATACATGGGTTCAAGAATATATGGATTCATTACAGGATTCTGTTTGTGTATTTGAGGTCAGAAATTCAGCAGTGGGCTTTCCTGACTGCTGGACAGTATATGCTTTAAATTCTGGTCATCTCTGCATTTATCCTTTCTTCCCTATTGCTGCCACCATTTTCCCTGTGCTAGATGTTGTCTAGAACACAAAGGATGCCAGCACACTTTAGATGAATAAAGAAAACCTAGGCTGGGTGCTGGTAGCTCACACTTATAATCCTAGCTACTGGGAAGGCTGAGATTGGAAAACTGTGGTTTGAAGAGAGGGGAAGGGAGGGGAGAAGAGGAGAGGAGAGAAGAAAGGAGAAGAGAGGAGAGGAGAGAGGGGAGGAGAGGTCTTGTCTGGTCTGTACTGGTTACCATTAAGTGCAAGACTCAAGCTAGTCCCAGTGAATTCCCATCATGTGGCTGACTAGAGAAGAAGAAACAGGTGGAAGATGACTACAAGTCTGTGCATGTGGCTGGAGACTGGTGCGGCCAGGAGCAAAAAGAAGAGAAGCCAGCAAGAACAGCAGCGTTTCTTGGCGTGGTTATGCCCACCTCTCCCCACCACTTAGGCCGGATGCGTTAGGGAGAAGGTGAAATGCTTCCAATAGCTGGGTGGCAGAAATGAAAACCTGGAAATTATTAGAGTTCAATGTCACTCTGGCAATCATTCACACAGTGAAGAAAAATACAAAAGGATTCTCAAACTAGTGTACATCAAAACTATTTGAAGAGCTTCTCATATACTCTACCCTGTCTCATTCCCACAGAGAATCCCATCCGGTAGACTTACAAAATTGGCCCCAAATTGGTATTTCAACAATCACCCTCACGGGACACTGATAAAACAGTCCATCACACTAGGACGAGGGAACAAAGAACACACCTTGCTACATCATCTTTCAACCTTGGCTCTCCACTTCCACCTGACACGATCTCTTTTTAAAATGTAGCTGTTTGCTCTCAGGTGTTGTCAAGATGTAGGCAGGACCTAACACATTAGAATCACCCTCAAGAGGTGTTTCCTGGGGCCACGCCCCAGTTCCACATAAACGGGCAGGGCAGCTGCAGTCTTAAAAAGCACCTCTAGGGAGCAGCGATGACTCCATAAAACTGTTATTTATAGAAAAATACCTTCGATGGCTTCAACCTTTCTATATGCCAAAATAACTCGAAAAAGTACAATCCCGTTCTGCTGACTGACAAAGAGAGCATCCAAGTACAGCGATGAAAAATACCTGCCGCAGCGTGCGGGGCTCCGGTCGAGCGAAGAATCCGCCCGTCCTCCGCAAAGCTTTTAAAAGCCCGCGCAGCACAATGGAGTAATGGGGCCCCGCGCGAAAGCCAAGCAAGCAAAACAATAACACCGCACCAGGGAGGCCGTCGGCCTTCCCACCAGCACCGACTGCCAGGGCTCTCCAGCGGGTGTGCGAGCGGCTGCGGGGCCTGGCCGAAGCAAACCACCATTTCCCGGCCCGCCCCGCCCGGACCCCGCGCGCGCCCCGCCCCGGGAAGACCAGCCGCAGACCTTCCCGGCGCCCAGC